AAGCATTTATAAGTTGTGCATAGTGGTATGCACTGTAGTTCAAGCTACTTGGGAGGTTAAGGCAGGAGGATCACTTCAGACTAGAAGTTCAAGGCCAGCCTGGAGCACATAGTAATACTCTATCTCAAAAGAAGCATTTGTAATATATATTATAGGTAAAAGCTTACTGTCAACCAGAGTAATGCTTTTTATGTGTTGTTATTGTAATGCATGGAAAAGGATCTGTGGAAGTACACAGGACATGTTGTTAGCCCTAGACAGTTTAAGGAATTGTGATAGGGATTGGTCATCAAAGGAAACTTTGACTTTCCTTATTTGTACATTTTAAGTTTTTATAATGATATAAATGTGTCAAATGAACATTAAAAGATAAATTCTTATGACTCCCTCTTGTTGACTACAATTTTAAAGAATATGGTATTTCTGATGAACTTTGTCTTAGAAGAAGCTTAAGATGGGGGGTGGGGGGAGGGGGGCAGGTGGTACAAACAATGTATACACATGTAAGTAAATGTAAAAACGATAAAAGAAGAAAAAAGAAGCAGCTTAAGACAATGTAAAGTGTCACAGAGTAGGTGAAACAAAATGATATGTGGGTATGTATACATTTGTGTAATATGTAAAAATAGGCTGTAAGGATGTACTCAAAATGGCTGATAGGGTTGTCTTTGGTAGTGATAGTGTGTAGAAGTAAAGAGTGACTGTCAGACTGTCTTTTTTGTTTCTTTGTTTTTTTGGCAGTACTGGGGCTTGAACTCAGAGTCTTACGCTTGTTAGGCAGGTGCTCTACCATTTGAGCCACTCCACTAGTCCTTTCTTTTTATAAGTTGCATTTTTTGAAAGCCTTTGCTTTTGAATTATTTGTATAATAAAAGAATATGAAAAAGAGGGAAAAGACTGAGATGCAAGAAAATATATGGGTGAGTACCACAGACACACAGGAAAAGGATTCTTCTATGTCCAGTACAGTAGCTATTTAGCAACATTTGACTAGTGAACACTTGACATGTGGCTAATGAGCGCTTGAAATAGGTGTAGTCTGCACTGAATGGTGCTCTTAAGTGTGTATTACACACTGGAGTTTAGAGACTTAATTTAAAAAAATGTAAAAGGTCTCAATTTTTTATACTGATAATATGTTGAAATGATGATTCATAGCTATAAGTTAAATGAAGTATATTAGTAACACTAATTTCTCCTGTTTCTTTTTTCTTTCCTTTTTTTTAGTGGTACTGTGGTTTGAATTCAGGCTCTCAGATTTGCTAGGTAGGCACTCTACTGTTTGAGCTACACCTCCAGCCTCTTTTGCTCTGGTTATTTTTGAGATTAGGGTCTCACTTTTTGCCTGGTTTGTTATCCTTCTATTTATGTTTCCCAGCAGTAACTGGGATAACAGAGATGTACCACCATGCTCGGCTTTTTCTGTTGGCGGGGGGTCTCATGAACTTTTTGTCTGGGCTGGCCTCAAAGTGTGATCTTCTCAATCTTTGCCTCCTGAGTAGTTAGGCATGAGCCATAGGCATCCGTCTTTTTTCTTTGGCACTAGAGATTAAACCCAGGGTCTCTCACGTGCTCAGCAAATGTGCTACCCCTTAGTTATACTCCCAGCCTCTTTACTTTTTAAAATGTGATTACTAGAAATTTCAAATTATTTATTTCCATTATATTTCCATTGGGCAGCACTGCCACAGAAAATGGGCAAAAAAAAAATGAAAAGACAACTTTAATTTTCCTGTACAGTAAATATAGATATGAACATATGAAAGATGCCTAATTCAGGGCCTGGTGGTACACACCTGTAATCGTAGCATTCCAGAGCATACACAGGAGGATTTTAAGTTTGGGGCCAGCCTGGGCTACATTAGCAAGACCCTTTCTCAAAATAAAAACAAACAAGGCCTAGGGATGTAACTCATTGATGAAGTGCTTGCCTAGCATGTGTAGGGCCCTGTGTTTCATGTCCAGCACCATTAAAATAATAACAAAATAATAAGAATTTAAAATATTATTTTGGCTCTCAGATTGGTGCAGTATAAAATAATTATTTATACCAGATATTGTCAGGATTATGCAGAAAAGTATTCTTACATATTAGCAGGAGTAAAAATAATACCAAATTTTTAGAAAGCAATTTGGTATCCATTCTACACCTAGGAGTATTATTCTACTCAAATTCTCAGTGTATATGAGGATGTCTGAAGTGGCATGGTTGGACTGGAGGTGTGGCTCAAGTGGTAGAGTGTCTGCTTTGCAAGCACAGAGTCCTGAGTTCAAACCCCAGTTCCACAAAAAAAAAAAAAATCACAAAGTGACATAGTTTGTTAAGCAGAAAACAGGAAGCAGTATCTACTGATAGGAAATAAATTATAGTATATCCGTATTATAAAATACTACATATCTGTTTAAAAGAATACAGTTGACCTATTATGTATTGCTGTAGAAGAATGTCTGTAATATATAGAATGAAAGAGAAATTAACACTAGTATGCATAATATAATCTTATTAAACATGTTTATTTATATATGCATAAAATAAATCTGTAAAGCTAAATACCAGACCATTAACTGTGGTAGTGTCAGGAAAGGGTCTTCAGGTCTACCCCACTTCACCTGTCTATATTGTCTGCTCAATAGATTTTTCATGTTTGAGATTAACTTGTAATTATATTTATTGGGAGAGGAAAAGCTTAGTTAAGGGAGAAGAGCTTAGAGGAAACATGGTGTATTTCTGCTATATGTACTCAAAATTAAGTCTGAGTCAAGGGGTTGTGAATCTAAATCCCATCTTATTGGTACCTTATATTGAGAGACCTTATAGATGAAGTCCAATTTAAACTATTTGGTAATATCTGTTAAAATTGCAGTGTTTGTGCACTGTAACTTGCTATGTTCCACTTTTAGGGTTTATCTTTGGAAATATATCACATGTGTACCTAGACTTACATTTACATACAGATATGAGAAATGCTTATTGTAACATTATTTATGGTGATGAAAAATTGGAAACATGAAAAAAGTTGCAGAACAATGAAGTATGATTTCATTTTTTAAAGACAGTATTTGCTAATAATCAGAAAATCTGGAACAATATATTCAAAACTTGATTGTTAATCTTGGTACTTGATTTCCACTTTAATTATGTATTTATATACTTATGTATATGTACATATATATTTTATATATATATATATAATGTCTTCTTTTAAATTTTTTTCTAAGGTGGTTGTGCTTATTTCCATTTGTATCAGCAAGGTGTGAATGTAGCAGATTTTTGCCACATTGTTATTGCTTTGGTTCCTTGCATTGTTACCAGCCCTTCACTGTTTGATGAGTGGTCATCTGTTTTCCCAACCACACCAATCACTCTGCCTTTGCACCTACTGTTTCCCTCTGCCTACAGTATTTCCCCATATTCATTCATTTAACAAGTGTTCAGATGGGTAGGACCTAACCTAATTTGAATGTACACATCTGCTTGGTTCAAAGAAACTAATTTGCATGTGACCTGGGCACTTGGGGGTCCAGGAGATCAACAGTCTGTCTTTAGCCTTGCCTTTTGAACTGTTTAAGCCTGTTGAAGCCTGTTGAAAAGAGCAAAAGGAAGGTTGCAGAAAAAAAAATCTGTATGTTCTTAATTCCTTTTTTCCTGCTTCCAAATTTACAAATGTCTCCATTCATCCCTGCTGCTATTTGTGAGCTTTATTTAAATCCAGAGCCAGGAATGTCTGTCCCGTTATGGCCGAACTTTATGCCCAAGAGCTGTCTAATGCCATTTAGTTCAGGTCATCTTCCTTTCTACTCCTTTTTGGAAATTAAATCTGTCTTTTTTCTTCTCCAAATAGTTTTTTCTCTCATCTAAAAAGTAAAGCCTTATAATAACCCTTTCTCCCTTTCTTAAAACTCATTCTTCTCCTCCCATCCCTTCTTCTGCAGTATTATCCCCGTTTTGATTACTAAGTACATTTGTATAAATTTGCTAGGTCTTCACTCTCCCTGACTTGTCCTGCCCTCAAGTTTCTTGAAACAAATTTTGAATTTTCTATTAATTCACAATTAAGTAATGTTCAACATTCAAAATGATATTGCACTTGCCCTTCCTGGATGTTTGCAAAATAACAGCCATTTATTGAATACATATTGTGTGTCAGGCAGTATAATGGATTATGTCTAATACTTTAAAAAAGCAGTCTTCCAAAGTATCTTTATAGATGAGGAATCTGAGACTTGAAGGTTAAATAACTTTTCCATTATTACAGCTAGGTAAATAGCTGAGTGGATTTGTTAATCTTTTTTTAGTGCAGAGAACTTTCCTAGCACTTTTAGTTTTGTTTAAATAAACATATATATGTGTTTTAATAATTATGTATGTATTTTAATATTTACTTTTAGACTCTGTGTGTGTGTGTGTGTGTGTGTGTGTGTGTGTATGTGTGTGTATGATGCTGGGGCTCAAACCCAGGGCTTCATGCATGTTGGTAAGCGCTTTACCACTGAGTTACACCCTCAGCCCCTTGTTAGACTACTTTTTAAGCTTGGACAGCTGAAACATCTGTGCTACATTTATTTTAGATAGGTTCTTATTTGGGGGATTTTTTTGAAAAAGAGTATTATGGATTTCCATGGTATTCTTGTATACTTAATTTATACTGTTGATTTCTCTGAGATAAATTCTTATCTAGTTATAATAGCCCTTCCTCTCTCCTAAACTAGTTTCTGTAAGAATGTTGGTTTATGCCAAAGGATTCGTTAGTCAGTATCTGTTATTAAATATGTGACTGGTTCTTTTAAGTAGTTACATGTTTAAGGCAGCACAGTAATCCAACAAAATCTCCTACTCTTCCCCAAATGTAAACTGTGCCTGCTCAGCAGCAGCAGAAGCTCTGCATTGCTTTCTGTTGGAAGTGTGAACTGAAGGGGACAGACATTCCTACTGTTTAACCAGTGCAATAACCTGTGATGTGCCCTTGTTGTGTTATTAATGGCATGTTTTTATGTTGCAGATGGCTAAGAACTAGCAAGGAAAATTCAGGACCATGATGGCTCAGTTTCCCACAGCAATGAATGGTAAGCAGCTTTATGCTTGTTGCTGTTGGGTTTTCTTTTTCACTTTTGGTAGAGGCTTAAAATATTTGTGTAGATAATTTTCCTTATCTTGTAAATGTAAAACTTAAACTCTTCTTTTAAATGATACTGAAAATTTTATTTCAGAACACTGCACTCCTGTTATAGCATTATGCAGCAAATTCCATGTCTCTGTGTAAGCATGTTCTGCAGTATCATCTGGAATGTGTGCTGCCATTGAACAGTTCAGAATAACCTAAAAAATAATTGTGTTTTGTGCATAAAACTGGAGATAAAGATAGAGAGGGCTATTAGGTGAACAGTAAAGATGTTTTGGGTAGCAGAGGATGATTGCAAACAGATAAAGCCAATAAAGTACCACTTAATACACGTCAGATTTACTTTTTCCTTTATGAAGAACTATGTATATCCACATAAATAATGGTTCAGTATGAAACACTTTAAAAGAAAATGTTTAGGTACTTTCTATAATAAAAAGTTTTTAAAGTCTTTTAAAATTTTTTTTAAATTTTTATTTTATTCATATGTGCATACAATGTTTGGGTCATTTCTCCCCCCTTACCCCTGCCCTCTCCCTTACCCTGCCTTACCCCCGCTACCAGGCAGAAATTATTCTGCCCTTATCTCTAATTTTGTTGAAGAGAGAGTATAAGCAATAATAGGAAGGACCAAGGGTTTTTGATAGTTGAGATACAGATAGCTGTACAGGGAGTTGACATGCATTTATTTCCTGTACATGCGTGTTACCTTCTAAGTTAATTCTTCTCGAACTAACCTTTTCTGTAGTTCCTGGTCCCCTTCTCCTATTGGCCTCAGTTGCTTTAAAGTATCTGCTTTAGTTTCTCTGCGTTGAGGGCAACAAATGCTATCTAGTTTTTTGGGTGTCTTACCTATCCTCATACCTTCCTTGTGTGCTCTTGCTTTATCGTGTGATCAAAGTCCAATCCCTTTGTTGTGTTTGCCCTTGATCTAAAGTCTGCATATGAGGGAGAACATACGATTTTTGGTCTTTTGGGCCAGGCTAATCTCACTCAGAATGATGTTCTCCAATTCCATCCATTTACCAGCGAATGATAACATTTCATTCTTCTTCATGAGTGCATAAAATTCCATTGTGTATAGATACCACATTTTCTTGATCCATTCATCAGTAGTGGGGCATCTTAGCTGTTACCATAACTTGACTATTGTGAATAGTTAAAGCCTTTTTTTAAATCACTAAAGAAATCTATAGAAATGCTGAGTTCTTAATTTTGTGGTACAGTTCATTAGCTAATTGTACATAATTGTAAGGATGTAGAGAATAAAGTCATTAATTCTTTAACATTTAAGTAGAAAACAATAACATTAAAGAACATAAGAAAAAGAGGGGAGGACGTTCCACCATCTTTACCAAGCAATTCTAGTTAGATGTGACCATCTAGTCACATCTAGCAAAACCCCTTCACCAAAAAGGGCTGGTGGAGTGGCTCAAGGTGAAGGCCCTAAGTTCAAGCCCCAGTACCAGAAAAAAGAGAAAGTCTTCCATATGCCCTTATTTTGGAATTTCTGTCATCCACAGTTGAATTTCATTATAGCAAGTTATCTACAAATACATTCTTGAAAGTTCTTTTAGAAAGAAGGATCAATATGAGCATTGCTTCCTTTGTGGGAAATGGTATGGAATTATAGAGTAGTGCTACAGACTGTTTTAAAAATTAAATAATTTTCTGTAAGTGGTATATAAATTTAAAGTCATAGCAGCAATTTTAGTGTAACTTGTTCTATCAAAGTTTGAGCATTTCCATGCTCTTTAGGAAAGAGTTCTCAATGAACACAGTTTAGTTATAAACTTTAAACAACATGTTAATCAAATTTATAAACAAAATAAGGGCTAAAGCATATCTCAAGTGGTAGAGTGTTTGCCTAGCGAGCACCAGGCCCTGAGTTCAAGTCCCATTACTACAAAAAAAAGTAGAAGTTGTAAAATTACCATGGTAATTGTTTAACAAATACTTGTGGACTGAAGAAATGATTCAAGTGGTTTAGTGCCTGCCTAGCAAGTATAAGGCCCTGTGTTTATTCCCAGTACTGCAAAACAAACAACAAACAAAAAAATAAGTAAATGAAAGAAAGCAGTACATCTTGAATCTTTCTTCATCCTATTTCTTCATTCCACAAACATTTATGTATCTGCTTTGTAGCCCATTGCATTATATATAAAAGAGTAATATTGGAAACAAAATGTTCACTAACAAAAGAATGCTTATATGAATAATTATCGAAACTGTTAGGTATATAGAAGTGGTATGTAGAAATAAAGATACTAATTTTTTAAAACTTTTGAAGAATTGATAGCAAATAGAGACTATTGTGGTACCTTCTACTTAGCTTATAAAATAAGCGAAGATTAATAATATCTTGTATATATCTACTTTAAGTCCAATGCAGGATTTAAGATCTTATTGAAAGAAGTATTCATGTACACCACAAAACCTTCAAAAGCAGTGTTTGCTCCTCTATTGACTCCTTTAGTCACAGTTTGTTAAATTTTTTGGTGCTCAGGGCTATTGGGACTTGTCTATAAAGTATGCCTAGACTCAGTTGTTTGTGTAAATGCTTCTGACATACTCTCCCAGTTTTGTCATGTGTATACTTTATTATCCTGAGATTAACCACAGATCTTTTGAACTTTTTAGTCCTAGATAGCTGCACTACCTTGTATAGTAGCCACCAGCTACATGTGGCTATTTCAGTTTCAATTTAAATTAATAAAAATTAAGTAAATCATATAGCTGTATTTTAAGAACTCAGAGCCAGATGTGGGTACCATATTGGACAATACAGGTATAGAATATTTATATTATCCCAAAAAGTTCTATTAAACAGATACTCTTTTCTTAGTCTCTTTATTAGTTAACGTTCCATCTTTGAGCAGAACTAAAAAGGTCAGTGCATCATATTTTACCATTTGTGTCTCTGCTATGAGTGTCTTTTGCACTGGAGAATAATCCTTGCCAAAGCCTCCTTTAATCATGGTAGGTTTGCATTCTGCTTTTCAAAAATTCAATGAGATTGAAAATTCAAAGAGCATGATGGATGAGCCCCAGATGATAAGCAAGAGGTTACTTCAGATACATGTTGTCTAATTGTTATTATGATGTGATGTGGCCTGTTTCAGACTCAAAATTATGGGGTATCTAAGACTAAGGAAGTGAGGAAGAAGGTCCAAAGCCCATCATGGTGGCTGTATACAAAATATGGAAGAGGGGCTGAGGGAATAGAGAACAAGAACAGTCAATGGCTTTAGGAGGAATGCCCTGACGTTTTATTTTTAGAGCCTTATTACCTTTTCAGAATTTTAGACCTCAGATATCATTTCAATCATGTAGTGAAGAAATTGCTATGGTAAACATTGGAGCTATAGAATCAGGTCTAGTACTACACTGCATTTATAACTACCCACGTTTTTATTATTCAAGTCCCTTCAACAGAAGCTATAGTTTTATATATATATCAGTATTCCAGATGTATTTTAGGTATTTAAATTAGTACTAGATCAACATATTTCATTTGACTATTTTAAATCAAAGCAAAATAGCAATGCAGAATATTTCTTATTAGAAATATAAATAGGATATAGCATGTTTGAATTATGTACATTTAGAATTGTGTTAGAATACTGATGTGCTACTACCTGTGTTTCTTTACGTATGTATATGTATATTTATGTAAATATGTGTATCTGCATATGTGAAAACAGGGATAGCACTACTGACTACATAGGCTCTAGCATATAGTAGATATTCTATAAAGGTGGAATTTTCCTTCTTCATTGCTCATAAGAACATGTTTGACAGAGCCAGTAGTTGAGAAGAGAATAAGCAACAGAAATCTTTATGAAAATAACACATTGTCAACTTAGTTGTGAGTTGGGGGAACTGAATGGAACTTTCCTGAGTTCCTGATATGATTATCAGACAATGTAAAGGGTTGTTAGCTTTTTAAGTACATAGTAGACATCAACCCTCAAACTTAGCTAATTCTACCTTTCTATAAGGCTTACAAATATAGACTAAGATTGGGAGTTTTTTTTTTTATTTGAAGTGCAAGATAAACTGTTGCTCTTAAAAGGTTCTATTAGTGCTGTATTCTAAATAAAAAAGCCAAAATTGGATCAACTATTTTAAAATTGGCTTTGAATTACATATTTCCCAATTGTCTTACTTCTGTGTTATAATTTCATTTCTGAAAAATTCTTGATGCATTAATATCTTACATTTTAATGTCATTTGTTTTGAAGTGTCCGAATTTGAAGGGAGTGTGGTTTAAGTGGTAGAGAACTGAGGCCCTGAACTCAAACTCTAGTACCTCCAAAAAAAAAAAATATTCCTTGTCATAATGCTTTAGGACATTTCTGTTCTGCAAGTGATGTTATGTTAATCATAATAATATTTAGCCATGATTGTTGTTTGTGATTTTCTTGGCTTATAGAGTCTCTCAAATATTAAAAAGTCTGTAAGTTCTTATAAGGGGTTTATTTTATTCATCATTATATTCCACAAATGTTTGTTAAATGAATGAATGAATACGAAAGGATCAAAGTTGCTGATTGGAGTCATGAGAATTAAACAGTAAACATTAACAGGTAGGTTTAATAATGAAGATAGGTAGCCAAGGAAAGGTGAAGAGATAGTAGTATATAAAAAAGTGTCATAATATGATCAAGATTCATACAGCAGGCCTGATGTCACAGATTCTTTTTTCAAGGTGGTGTCTCACTATGTTGTGCAGGCTGGTTTGGAGTTCATGGGTTCACATTACAAAGATTTTCTACAAGAGGTTTCAAAGTTTAGCTCTTAGTTTAGTTCTCATACCCATTTACAGTTATTTTTTTGTATATGGTGCAACATCAGGTTCTTTTTTTGGTTTTCCATATGGATCTCAAGTTCTTTCAGCACCATTTGTTAAGAACACTATCCTTTCCCAAATGAATTCCTTCCTTCCTTCCTTCCTCCCTCCCTCCCTCCCTTCCTTCCCCCCCCCCGCCCCCTCTCCATTTTTTTCTTTTGGTGGTACTCGGGTTTGAATTTGGGGCTTTGTGCTTACAAAGCAGGTGCTCTACTCCTTGAGCCACATCTCAAGTCCTTCCCATTGAGTTTCTTGACATCATTACTGAAAAACCAACAATGTATTTTGGGGTTTATTTCTTTTTATCATCAAGGCAAATAGTTTAAGCCTGAGTAGATTTTAACAATACTTAACCACTCTGGGCAAATTACTTCATCTCTGCATATCTCAGATTCCTTCTCTGAATAGTGATAATAATAGTTACCTCATAGGATTCTTGCAAGATTTAATTGAATGAACCAATACACATAAAGTACCTGACACATGGTAAATTTCATTAAATGTTATCTATTGTTATTTTGCCCATGTGGTAGATGAAAGATAATTTAGTATTATCTATTGGAGGTTTATTACTTACCACATGTTCTCTACAACAACCCTGTGGAGTTTAGATTCTTACTTTATAGAGTTGATAACTAGACTACAGAAACTATGAGTTTTTATCCATATATGTTGAGATAGTAGAACACAGGGAATTCAGCAGGGAGTCAGGCTACCCTGAGGTTCTAATCTTAGTCCTGTCACTTATTACTCAAACTTGAGCAAGTTACTTTACCATTGATTTTAATTTCCTTATCCGTGAAATGGGGATAATAATAGTACCTGAATTTTTAGGGTAGTGGTAGGGGTTAATGTAGTAAGGCATACAGTCTGGGTTTAGTAAAAGTGAGCTACTTCTATCTTTGTCACCCTTTGTTGTTATTTTTTAACCATTATCATCATTTTCCCAAAGTCATACAGTAATAAGTCAGTTCTATAACTATACTACTTTCCTTTCTAGTCACTGGAATCCTGATGAGTTTATTTAGTTATTTTCTAATTAACTGATAGACCAAGTTGAGTTTTACTACATATGTGGTATTTATTTAGAAAGTGTGTAGGTTTAGCTATTTTAGATCTTCAGTTCTTTAGTACATCTGTTTCTTTATTTTTAACTCTTAATCTTAAAACTTCTGTTTAAGAGAGGATGTTTATAGATTTTTAAAAATCCAGGCATTTAGGGCTAAGAAAAACTTGTTAAATAGTGTTTAGAATGATAGTGGGCTCCTACTTTTCAGTGATAAATATTCCTGAAAAATTGCTTTTGTAGGGCATTTTTTTACACACACTGCAGGCAGCAAATATGTATGAGTTTATGTACCTAAACATATTTGATTACTGGTTGACAAAAATAGAGTAAACTGAAATGGTAGCCAGAAGTGAATTGTAGATGGTTAGAACCATGTTGAATGTGTAAAGCTTTACAAAGGCCTCAGAGAAGGGTAATCTTAAGTGAAGGATGAACGGCAAAAATGTTTGTAAGTGAATGTTAATGTTCCCTCAAGTCCTGATCTTGTATTTCTTCTTTTTTTCTACTTCCTCTTTTATTCACTCAGACATCTGCTCAACAGTCATTTTAAGTGTTTGCTTTGTGTTGGGCACTCAACTGTTGCTGGGCATAGAAAGGTAAACACCCAAAGCCCCTGTCCTCCAGGGCTCACAGTCTGGTGTAGCAGATGGACAGAGTGACTGCAGCATTTTCCTAAGTGCTCTGTAGAAGCATGAAGAAGTCTCTTGAGAATCTGAAGGAGGAAGCAATTACTGTGATCTGGAAGAAGTGACATCTGCACTAGACTTTGAAAGTTTGAAATAAAGGACTGGAGAATGTAGCTCAGTGGTAGACAGTTTTCCTAGAATGCATAAGACCCTGGGTTACCTCCTCAGCACTGGTTAAAAAGAAAAGAAAAGAAACCCTTTATGGCCAATTCCAGCCTGCCTATATCTTACCACATAGTACCACACATAGTCCCGTAGCCAGTAGTCGGTACACTTAGAGCACTTTGCACATTCCTTTTCTTATCTGTGCCAGTGAAGTGCTATTATACCTCCTCTTCACATGGAAAAATTCAAATCAAGCTTCAAGAATTTGCCTCAGTTTTAACTTTTCCTCTTACTTAATTCCTGATGCTTATAATTTAGGATTAGCACAACTTTTGTTTTGTGTTTCTGCTTAGGATTTTTCATAGGTTAATACTGGTAGTGTTAACTGTTAGTTGTTTTCTAAGTATGAATTCCTTGAGGATGGGAATAATATTTTACTTATGTTTTTATTGCCAGTATTTAGCCTGTTTCAGTGAGTGGTATACAGTAATTATTCAATAGATGCTAAGTGAGTGGATGAGTGTATGGTTGATATGACTCTTTGTGTCATTCATACATTAAATACTGTCATTAAATGGACGCTTAAGATTTATATTTACATTTTAGAATTGCATTCTATGTACACATGATTTTAAGCAGGCTTTTTTACACTATAATTTCTTTGCCTTTCACATGTTTTAGGAGGGCCAAACATGTGGGCTATTACCTCTGAAGAACGCACTAAGCATGACAAACAGTTTGATAATCTCAAGCCTTCAGGAGGTTATATAACAGGTTTGTGTTTATAACTTGTTATATTTTATTTGTGAATTATGCTCTTTTTTTCATATGTCTTAAAATTAGCTTTAGCCATCATTAAATTTATATTGTTATAAAATTTGTATCAATCAGAATTCTGGAATTAACATAATACTTTCTTTTCCTGGAACGGTCTTAATTTGTTGTTTTGGATCTGGCATATAGAAAATCTTTTCTTAAATCTTAAATGATAGTCAGGGATTTATGTTTCCTTACTTAGTTTCATGTTTTAATATTGTACCTACATCTTTCAGTTTATTTCTTATACTAGTTCCATTTCCTGGAAAATAATCTCAATATTTTTTCCTGGGATCTGTTTTTGTAATGCTGGCTCTCTGTCTTTTGAGGCAATGTCAAGCACTGATTTTTTTTTTTGGGTGGTCCTGGGGTTTGAACTCAGAACCTCATGCCTGCTAGGCAGGTGCTTTGCTACTTGAGCCACTCCACCAGTCCCCCCACCAAGCATTGATTGTTGATGCTAGCCCTTGTTTTGCAGAAAGACCACCGGAGCCCAAAAGGGATTAATTTAGGTGTGTCTTCCAAAGTTTTTTCTAGAAATGTAACTTTTTATTTTAGTGCCAAAGTATCTTAGTTCTTTATATATAATAATAGTCACAGTAATAACAACTGTACCATTTATTGGATTTGTACTGTATGCCAGATGCTATTCTGGCATTAGCTCATTTGGCTTCACAACAGCCTTGTAAGGTAGATACTGTTGGTATTTACAGATGGTAAAACAGACACTTAGAGATGTAATGGAACTTGTCTAAGGTTATAAAGGTGGTTAGCATTGATACCTTTTAGCCTAATTTTGAAATCCATCCTCTTAACCATTATGATTTAATGCTATTTGTACTCCTGCTGTAATAGTTAACTTTGCCTAGAATTAGGATTTGATTACAAAGTAATAACAACCTGTTATCATTCATGGCTACTGGCAGAAGACCCAAGATTCCTGAATCAGAGAGCAAGGATATTATTATTAATCGCATAGCTAGCTAGCAATGTGAGCATGACCATGTTTCTGTTTGGCATCCTTTGTTCCCTAAGCCTTACAAGGATCATGCAGAATACTGAGGAAGATGCTACGCATGCTCTAATTGTGTTACAAGAGAGAAACACTGACCTTCGGGAACCCATCATTTTGTAGCAGGCAGTAAAGCAAATTTTTCTTTGTCCCAGTGAGAGACATTACCTCATTCTTCAGTATTATTCACATACAAACCCTATTCTGAAAAATGACCCAGGTAAAGAGGAATTAGGGTTTTGCATTCTTGCCTTACACAGCAGGACACGCTGGAATGTGAGGAAACCAGTGGAGGACTGTTTCTCCTAAATTGGTACTCTCTATATGGAACTCTCTTAGGAAACAGTGTTTTTAGGTATAAATTTTATGAAATGGAATATTAATCAGTAAGACCCTCAGTTATGGAAAATCTAAGATGAATAATGTAATCTTTTATCACTGATTAATGAGTAATATAATTTCAGTTGTGACTTACATTGTTCTAAAACATCTAAATCTTATTGAAATATTGTAAATGATTTCCTATGTTTATTTCACTTTATTCTTTAATAATTAGAATTAAAATTATAATAAGTCAATAACATATGCCATTATTATTATTCAGAGACATTAGAATAATTCCACTTACTAATGTGTTGCTTCATTTTTCTTTTTATTACCTTCAGGTGATCAAGCACGTACTTTTTTCTTACAGTCAGGACTACCTGCTCCTGTTTTAGCTGAAATATGGTAAAATGTTTTCTTTTATAGATGTACTTAAATTTCTGGGAACCTGTTTTTTTTTATAATACAGTTTTAACATGAAATTATTTTTATTTATATTTTATTGTTAAGAGTATTTCAGCTTTTTGGAAAATAAATTTTATTTAGGAAGTGACTGAAAATAATTGGGTTTTATTCTATATGGTACATTTCTAATTTCATTAGAATTTTTAATGAAAGGTGTATATATTGTCATTGAGAAATAATTCTTTATAATTTGGCAGAATGGCAAAATCTTTTTGTTATTTTGTAGTAATTTTATTTATTTCATCATCTATAAACTCCAAATGACTCTCCCTTCCCCTGCTTCTACTTTAAAAAATAAATTTATTCTCTGGAGTACTTGGGATTTTGTTTTTAAAACTGTATTCACAATAAATAACAATCTCTATCCCATCTTTCTTCCTTGTGGAATATTTCTGTGCCTAACATAATACCAGACATATAGTATACATTTGATAAATATTTGAACACGTGAATAAATTGAATGATTTCTTTTTACCTACACTGGCGGAATTCTTGCCAGGGGTTTCTAGATTCTATATAGACAGGCAGTGTTTGATTAGATTCTGTTTCTGGTCAATATTTATTTATTTCTCCTCCCTGACCCCCAGGTGCTTTATTACTTGAGCCACACCCCCAGCTGAGATGACAGGTGCACACCACCACACCCAGTTTTTACTGGTTGAGATGGGATCTTGCAAACTGTTTGTCTTGGCTGACCTCAAACAGTGATCCTTCTGATCTCTGCCTTCTGAGTAGCTAGGATGATAGGCATGAGCCACTGCATTCCTTTCTGATCAACATTTCTTGGAGCAAGCTTTCTCTCGCTCCTGGTTATTACCAAACTTAATGGGGCTAACTGTGGGCGACTGGAGATTCAGAAAAGACACAGGATAGATACACAGAAAGTGGGATCAGGAGTGTTGGGTGCTCGGGTGGAGGTGCACAACCCTCATTGCTTCTTTTCTCTATCTTTATTCTTTAAGGCCTTATTCCTTTACAGTTCTTAAAAACCTTGCTTCTAAAGTCTTCTTTAAAACCTTGCTTTTAAAGTCTTCTTTTCTGTTCTTTAAAGTCTCTTTCCTTAGACTCACTCTGTGCCATGTTTTGTCTTAGCTTTTTTTTTTCTAGCATAATCACTCTTAAAATCTTTGCCCCCAGACTTGCACTGTCCCATGTTCTCTTTAGCTTTCTTAAAGTCTCAGGCTTGCTAGTAATTCCCCTTTAGCAAATTCTTTTCCCCCCTTCAGCAGTCGCCCTTCAGTACTTTCCCTTTAGCAATTCATTTTCCCTTCAGCAATCCTTTTCCCTTCCAAAGGCCTCCCACATCAAAAAGCCAAAAGTCCAAAGCAAAAGCCCCCAAAGCAAAAGCCCTAAAGCAAAAAGCCCCAAAACAAAAAGCCTTGAGTCCTCCTTCAGTGAGTCTTTTATATCCAGTGGTAAACAGGGTAGAGCAGGTTCTCAGGGAGGGGCGTGACATTGTAACAGGAGAAACCTGCGTTCCTGCTTCTCTGAACATAAACAATTTAGGAGAAGCAGCTGTTTTGCATTTTCCTCTTCTGTGGCTGGGGCTTTGTCAGTCTCAGCCTACAGATAAACATCTTAGGAAAAGTAGCTGCATCTCACCTTGCTTATGTCCAGTTCTCACAAGCTTTTTAGAATCTGCTGTCCACAGTTTCTTAATTTGCAGGTTTTATCATTTTTGTTATTCATATGTATATATATGTAATTAAGTGATGATCAGGTGAATGCTATGTTCTTGTTTTTATTTTTTCAATCTAAATAGTAATGTTGGTTTTCTCACCACCACCCACAAACCAATCTACACACTTCATGCTCCTTTTAGGGCCTTATCAGATCTGAACAAAGATGGGAAGATGGATCAGCAGGAGTTCTCCATAGCTATGAAACTCATCAAACTGAAGCTTCAAGGTCAACAGTTGCCCGTGGTTCTCCCTCCCATTATGAAGCAACCCCCTATGTTCTCTCCATTAATCTCTGCTCGGTTTGGTATGTACTGACTTAATTTGATAAGCTGAATATAATAGTTCAACTTGATTCCTTAACATAATACTTGGGGATCAGAAAAAGATTTGTTAGTACAGAATGACAATCCCCAAACTCCCAAGTTATTCTTCATGTCCAAGTAAGAAATTCACTGTCGTAGCTAGAGTATCCATGTGTCCCAGTTTTCCAGGAACAATTCTTGTTTGTGCCTTTTGTTCTGGCATCTGGTCTAGTTGGTATCCCTGCTACAACTCCCAGTTGTATAATAAATTGTATTCTTCCTCTCTCCCCGTACATCCAAAATACATATGTGTGTGTGTGTGTGTATATATATATATATATATATATATACACATTTTTTTTTGTGGTGGTGGTGGTACCGAGGTTTGAACTCAGGGTCTTGTTTTCACTAGTAAGATGCTCTACCAATTGAGTCACTCCCCCAGTTCCTAAATGCTGTTCTTAGTTTCTTCATGATTTCATGGAAGTAGAAAGTAGGATGGTAGTTACCAGAAACCATAGAGGTAAAGTGGGGAGATAAAGGAGAAGAGGGGGAGGTCAAGGAGAAAATGGTCAATGGGTTAAAAATTACAGTCACAAAGGAGAAAGAAATTGTGTGGGTGACTATAGTTAGTTAACAATATTGTAATGTATATTTCAAAATAACTTGGGAAGAAGACTTTGGATGTTTTTAGCACAGAGAAATGATAAATGTTTGACATGGTGGAAACACTAAATACCCTGATTTGCTCATCACATAATGTATAAATGTATATTAAATTTACCTAATATTATGTATTAAATATCACATTCCACTTCATGAATGTGTACAAGTATGTGTTACTTAAAATCCTAATACAACAAAACAAAAAAACTGAACAATTTTAAACCCTCTTGGAAGGTTTTAATTGGAGAGGTGATTTAAAATTATATATAAATAGATCGCTTCTCGGCCTTTTGGCTAAGATCAAGTGTAGTATCTGTTCTTGTCAGTTTAATATCTGATAACGTCCTCTGTCCGAGGACAATATATTAAATGGATTTTTGGAACAGGGAGATGGAATAGGGGCTTGCTCCGTCCACTCCACGCATCGACCTGGTATTGCAGTACCTCCAGGAACAGTGCACAAAAAAAAAAAATTATATATAAGTAGATATTTCTTTAATTTAAAGATTAGTCAGCTAAACTTGAGGGCCAAAATTGGAGATTTTGTGCTAATTAATTTATGTAGTCTCAGAGATAAACATTGGTATGTCTTCTAAGTAATTTTAATTAGCCAGTTTCTTACTATATGTGAGAAACACTCATTTTGTTTTGGTGGTATTGATGGGGTTTGAACTCACGACCTCATGCTTGCTGGCAGGCACTATCACTTGAGCCATGTCCCTAGCCCTCTTTGCTTTATTTTTCCGGATAGGGTCTTGCCTGGGGCCAGTTTCGGACTGATCTTCCTACCTGTGCTGGATTTAGGATGTGTGCCACCACACCCAACTTGTTTGTTGAGGTGGGATCTTGCTAATTTTTGCCCTGGCTGGCCTCAAACCATGATCCTCCTGCACCTCCACCTCTAGCCCAAAGCACTCATCTTGAGTGGAACATTCAATTAAGTGTGTTTATATATAAGAAACACATTCCTTCCATCCAGATGTTAGTTTTTGTATGTTTGGTGGTACTGGGGCAGAGTTCAGAATTGTGTTTGGCTTCATGCTTGGTAGGTAGATGCTCTACCACTGGAGCCGTGCTTTCCGCCCCAGGTGTTAGTTCTTAATACACCTAATTGTTTAAACTATAGCACTGAGCTCTAGAGCTTAATGCCAAATCACTGTTACCGTACTTATGTTATGCTTATTATTCTGCAGTTAGTAAACAAAGTAATCACTTTGCTCCTCTTAAAGAATTGTTCTTGAATTTATAGATACAGTGCTTATAAGAAAAGTGAAATGTATGGCACAGTTTTTGCAAATAATGCATATGTGTAAATGGGTCTCCTAAAATATCTACTAATTAGAACTTTTTTATTCTTTGAGGACCTAATAGTTAATCAGAAAAGGTTGCTTAGTTTTAGTCATACTAAGAGAAAAAAATCTTTAATACATTAGTAGGCATTTTCTTACTTCAAATAGGGCAGAATATTAATATTATATTAAAAATAGTAGCTTACTTCCTTCACTTCTGGTTCAAAGCTGTTTTAGTGAATCTTTTAAGGATAATTTAAAAGATTATCCTTTTAAACATACTGGCTGCTCACTGTACTGTGACTTGCTTTCTAGCTGGATTTTCTAATTGGAATGCATTCACTTTTATCCTTAGGGATGGGAAGCATGCCCAATCTGTCCATTCCTCAGTCACTGCCTCCGGTTGCACCTATGACAACACCCTTGTCCTCTGCGACTTCAGGGACCAGTCTTCCTCCCTTGATGATGCCTACTCCCCTAGTGCCTTCTGTTAGTACATCATCATTACCAAACGGAACCACCAGTCTCATTCAGCCTTTGTCCATTCCTTACTCTTCTTCAAGTAAGTGTTTAATGAATCAATATTTCATCTGAAGAAACTGTTATATTTATATTCAAATAGGTACTGATTTTCTTCTTTGTGAGATTGCTTTGTATGACCCTTACCCTTTCTTTTTTCTTTTTTTGAAGCATTGCCTCATACATCATCCTACAGCCTGATGATGGGAGGATTTGCTGGTGCTAGTATACAGAAGGCCCAGTCTCTGATTGACTTAGGATCTAGTAGGTATGAGTACTTCACACTTACAACTTTTCATGCTTTGAATAAGGAGTCTTCACTTAATAAACTTGGAACTTATCCAGGTTTTACTTTGCAGTGGCCAAATAAATACTTAAGATAAATCTGTTTTAACTCACATACAACAATTTTTTTGTTTTTAGAAGTATTAAATGTCTTTGGCATTTTACTTTTGAAAAAAAAAGTTTATATAAATTAAAAAACTTTTCTGCCACATTTTAGTCAACTTTCTCCTCCAAATGATGTAGTTTTTTTCCTTTTAAAATTGTATGTAGTTCTTGCTGGGTGCTAGTGGCTCATGCTTGTAATCCTAGCTATTCAGGAGGCAGAGATCAGGAGGATTAAGGTTCGAAGCCAGCCCAGGCAAATAGTTTGCAAGACCCTATCTTGAAAATGCCCGACACAAACAACAGGGCTGGCAGAGTGGCTTAAGTGGTAGAGTGCCTGCCTAGTAAGTGTTAGGTCCTCAGTTCAAACCTCAGTACCACCAATAAAAAAGAAAAAAAAAAAAAAGCAACAAAATATATGTAGTTCTCAAAATGCCTCATAATCATTTTGTTAATTTCTTTCTTCAATAAATTCTGCTAATTTGGGGTATCATTTTAAGTAAATTTAAGAAAGCACAAAAACACCATTCTTCACATCTAATAAAAATCACTATTGTGCTTTTCAAAGCAGTGTACACCGTGAGCTTTGGCTGCGACAATATTCCTATCATGGCCTAACCAGTTACTAAGTTTGTTACCATATTTTTTCTTAATGTCACTGAGCCATAGTTTACCTGACTAAAAGATGGGGACAATAATATTTTTTAAATGTGTTGGGAAGATTAGAAATGACATTTATAAATGTCTTGGCACAATGCAATACCTGGTATATATTGTGGGCTCTTGATCTATGGCGTTTTATACTTTATATGGTACTTGTTTTACTAAGAATAATGATAATTGCTTAAATTTAAAAGTTATTGTTTTGTTTATGTTGGTTAGTGTTTCATGTGCTTTTTTGTTTGGGGCTAGTCTAGGACCATGATCCTCCTGTCTTCCCCTCCTCTTTGTAGGTAGGATTATAGACATGTACCACCATGCTGACTTATTTGTTGAGATGGGGTCTTGCTAGCTTTTTTTGCCTGAGCTGGCCTCAAAATCCTCCTGATCTCTGCCTCCTGAGTAGCTGGGATTCATAGGCATGAGCCACCAGGCACAGCCAAATTTAAGTTTTTAAAATCAAATGCAAAAGCAATTACCATTGTATTCTATAAGGTATGATTCTTAATGTCTTTGTCTTATGAAGTCTAATTAAATATGTATTTAGTAACATAAAATTTTAAATCATTTTTTTATAGTTCAACTTCCTCAACTGCTTCACTCTCAGGGAACTCTCCCAAGACTGGGACTTCAGAGTGGGCAGTTCCTCAGCCCTCCAGATTAAAATATCGGCAAAAATTTAATAGTCTTGACAAGAGCATGAGTGGATACCTCTCAGGTAAGCAGCATTCAGTGCTTAAGAGTCTGAGAGAGTTAAAGTTTTTTTATATAGACTTCTGTTGAAAAACTGTTATTTGAACTTACACTTTGTAGCTTGTCTAAAGTTTTAATATCCAAGAAATTTAGAAGGCATTTGATAAATATAAATAAATTGTGTAAGAAATCAAAGACAGATCCAACTTGATTGCTTTCTTCAAAGTTCTTACAGCCAACCTTTTGAAAAAAGACTTATCTCTCAAGAAGATCTGTAAACTTGGCAGTGCATGGAGATCCCCATGTCACAGAGGGAGTGTGTGCATTTTAGCCTTAGCCCTCTCTCTCTGCCTGAGAATCCTCTTGGTCACTTCTCAAGCAGAGAAAAGTCATTTTCTATGCTTTCCCTTACCAAAACCTCAGGAGAACATTGCTCACCCTTTAATGCTTCACTCTAAATATGCCTGTGAGACTTGACCAACAGTGGAGTCTAGGCTAGAACATTATCCAGACTTTACTAATTGAGGATAGTGAAGGGAATATGCATCTTACAGGAAGGGAACATCATTAAAGAAAGGATTAGGATTTGGACAGATAGAGATCGAAGATGACAGCATTTAAGGGTGACAGAGAAGAAATTCTAAGAGCAAAAAGTACATGGCATGTTTGGATAATGAAAAGTACTCTATGAAATAGCAGCCTGGAATGTGAAGTTCTGCAGTGGGGTAGTGGAGCATGAGACTTTGGAATTGACATAATGAATGAAAATATGTAATACATAGTATGTGATAAAAATTTTTTTCTTAAAGCAAGGGAATTATCCCCACAAAGTTCTAGACAGTGGTACCTTTTATGAGGGAGGCATGAAGATAAAGTTAGGGAATGTAAATAGTTTTTAAGACAGGTGGTAGGTTGGGTTTTATTGTACTTCATATGTATCTAATATTATATACATAATACTACAATCTTATACATGTACATAAACGTAACTAAGATTTTCTGTAATTTTATCAAATTATGTGAAATAAGGTATACTCTATTTTTTAATCACACTATTTTTTTACATTGTAATATGTCTGAATTTGAGGTGTATGTTACTTTCAGGGGTGTCTTAGCTTTTTTGTTAGTATTAAATAAAGTACTAGTATCTTAAAATCCATAGAATATTAGAGTCTGTGAGATTTGGTCTTGAAACCCACTTGGAATTAATGTGGTCATGACTCCCACTCTTTGAAATGATGGACTTCTTTGATCCATCATTTTCAACTTAACAAAAATGGACTGAAATGACATGTTCAAAAATGTTTGTTGCCTAAGTGTCCATCAATAGGAGAATGGTTAAATAAATTATAGTATTTTGTATAACAGAGGACTTTATAGTAATAAAAAGGAATGAGCTGATATGAACGACAACATGAATGAATTTTACAGATACTGTATTGAATGAAAGAAGACTGGCATGAATGAAAAGTCCATACTATTTAATTCATCTGTATGAAGCTAAAGAATAAGCAATCTACTTAATCATGATAGAAATCAGAATACTATAGTTATTCTATTGGGAAGGAGCTATATGTAAACCTTCTGAGGTGCTGGAAACTTTGTATCTTGGTATGAGTGTTGGTGTGCCTGCCTGTGTAAAAATTCATCAAACAGCACCCTTTAAATTATGCACTAAAAGCAAAATAGTGAACAGGTGGTTTTGCATTGGGATGTGAAGGGCAGTGAATGGAAGCCAACTGAGAAGAAATGATTCCTAGCATTACTTTATTCGTATATGTCATATTACATAAGGTTGCATATGTCATTATTTTCAGAGAATGGTATTCTGAGCCCTACAAGGATAAAGGAATATATGCATATAAGGGCAGTTTTTTCTTTGAGTAGTTATTGCTGGTATCCTGAAACTGAGCATGAACCCCAAGTATATGAGGACAGGAGTGATGTGAACTTAGATGTTAATGCTTTGCTCAGGGGATACACCAGTTGGTGGCCTGACTTTATTTGCTAAACCCACAGCCTTTGATTTATTTAGATTAATTCATTGGCTCAGATATTCCTGAGTCACATATCTTCTAGGCACTCTTTTGGCACAGGAATACAGGGAAGAGGAAGACAATGTCTATACCCAAAGCCAGTGATACAGCTCACATAAGCACGTATTTGATCAGTGGTATAAAAGTGTTGTAATACTGGAGCAGTGGGTTTCACAGAAGAGATGCTGTTTGAGCTTGATCTTAGAGAATAAATAGATATCAGGTTGGGGCAGAGGAGACAGGGTATCTCAAGGATTGGTAGACCAAGAGTCTGTGTGCTCAAGGAGCTTTTCTTAGTACTCTGCTGGCTCTCTGTGACTTTTGTATTATTCATACTTTGCCTGTACTCATAAAGTCCTCCAGCATCTGCTTTATAACCATTTACATTTCTTTTTTCTCCTGTCTGCTCTATTGCCTAATGCCAAGGAATCTTCTTTCAGTCATCTTTGTCCAAAAGCTGTAATATTATTGAATTTTTTTCAGGTTTGAAATAGTCTTCCATTTCTTTATTAAAAGGATTCTCCTTTTAACACAAAGAGGTCCTCAGATCTCACTTCCTATGTGAAATCTAGAGTGGTTAGTAAAGTAAGGCTATGAACTATTTCCATTGTCTTTCCTTATACAATTTCTACTAAATGCCAGATAAAAATAGTGAAAATGTTTAAAAGTTAGATAACATAAATATTCAAGTATATGTATAATACTTGGCAGCTTTTATTAGCAAGTCCTCTAACTGGACTAGCTGAATTCTTACTGGCTTTGTAGTAGGAGCTGCTGCTAAGAAAGAGTTGTACACACTCTGCTGTGTGCTGAGGTATATTGGACAGGCTTTGACTCAGGCTAAACATAGAGTAGGGACTGACTTCTAGTTCTTGTGGCTTAGTCACCAAGAGGTGGGAGGTGGGATACCTGTCACTGACAGGAAGACCACTCCAGAGAAGCTGCATGATTTCATCCATGACCCAGTAAGCTGAACATTAGCTTACCAGGAATATGCTGCTCTGAATCTGACAAGGATTTATTGCTCTGGGATATATTCCTTGGTGTTCTGTGTGTTTATTTCCTTGATATGACATTCCAGGTCAAGAAGTATGTTACAAAAGCACTTTTGATTACTGAGGGAGAGAAGCTGAACAGTTTACTACACCTAGTAAGCATTAGTTACTATTACCAGATGCCATCACTGTTTTTTTTTTTGGTGGTACTGGGGGTTGAAATCAGGGCCTTGTGCTTGTTGGGCAGGTGCTGTACCACTTGAGTTACATCCCCAGTAGATGATCAGGTAGGGACAGAGGAAACAGGATATCTCAAGGATTGGTAGACAAAGAATCTATGTGCTCAAGGAGCTTTTCTTTTTGCTGTAGTTCATAAGGTCTTTATGCTGGGGCTGGCCTGGACCACAATTTTCCTATTTATTCTTCCTATGTGGCTGGGATGACAGGTGCCTGCCATTACATCGGCTTTTATTGATTGAGATGTGATCTTGCCACTTTTTTCCCAGGCTGGCTATCTTCTTTATCTCCACCTCACAGGTAGCTAGGATTATAGACATGAACCACTGGGGTAGGCCCCCCTTTCACCTTAAATAGAGGAGAGCTTTATAGTACAACCTCATTCAGTATTTTAGCAAATATTTATTGAGCATCCATTTACTAGGTGTTGGTATGTATTAGTAAATAAAGCAAGCCAAGGTTTTTGTCTCCTTAGAACTAAGTAGCATAATAGGAGAAACAGCTAAAGTGGTAAACAAGCAAATAAATTACAGTACAAATTGTGATAGAAAATATGAAGGAAATAAGATATATGTTGGATGATAGGGTGTACAGAGAAGACCTTTCTGAGAAAGTGACGTTAAATTGAGGCTTATAGGGTAAGGAGGACCCAGGTATCCAATGACATAGAATTGTAGGACTTGATGTTGGATATGGGTATACAGGAGAGAAAGGGATCAAGAAAGACTTTGGGATTTCTGGCTTGAACCACTGGGTGGAGAGTAATGCCATTCATAGAGAAGGAAAATGATTTGGTGTGAAAACTAGGAATAGAGCCATGGAGGGAGATAGAGGAGCTTTATACCCACTTGGTTTGAGATGTTCAAGAAATGCATAAGTAGATTTCTGGTTAGATATAGAAGTGTAACTCAGAGGAAACCGGTTACAGGTGTTACATTTGGGGATCATCAGGTGCACATAGAAGAGGATGTGAACCCACAGGGAGAAAGGGTTCCCAGGACAGCCCCTTAGAGGAATGACAACATTGACAGATCATTTAGGAAGAGGAACATTAGAGAACAGAAAATCTGTGTTAAGGAAGTTGTGTTGGGAGTGCAGGCAGGCTGGAGAGCTTCTCAGTCTCTGTGCTTTGTGGCCTGTCTTTTCCCTCAGCCACTTGTGTGTACTGATGAAAGAACATGAAGGAGTACTTGATCTCACTAATTCTAGATTTTTTAACTCCTTGGTTCATGAACTATGTTTGATTTCCACTCAATGTTCAGTACCTTGCACATGGTAAAAACATTTTGATGTTAAAAGTTTTAGGGAGGGGGTGGGGGCAGGGGGGAGAAATGAACCAAGCCTTGTATGCACATATGAATAATAAAAGAAAAATGAAAAAAAAAAAAGGCAAGTTAAAAAAAAAAGTTCTTAAGTAATTGTTCTGAAGTAGTTGTTTAGGTTTGCATGACTTTAAAGAGGCTAAAGAATTTTTCTTTATGGTTTTTTCACTCAATCAGGTTTTCAAGCTAGAAATGCCCTTCTTCAGTCAAATCTTTCTCAAACTCAGCTAGCTACAATTTGGTGAGTTTGTCCATTTATGTGATTTTTAGCTGTATTTCCTCTCTTGTAAGAAATCTTTCTGGAAGATTGTTTCTAGAAAAAAAAAGAAAAAAAGATAATTGTTTTTGTAAAAGCCTGTGGCTTAAACATCCTCCATAAATGGGACCATTAGAATATTAATATTCACTTTAAAAGGCAAATAAAATTGAAGCTGGCAGAGTGGCTCAAGTGGTAGAGTGCCTGCCTAGCAAGCATGAGATCCTGAGTTTAAACCCCAGTACCGCTACAAAAAAACCCAAATATAATTGTGCAGAACATTCTTCTTGAGAACTTAGCATTTAATTATTAAGTAAAACTATCTTTTATATAATGACTTCTGTGAAGAAACAGTGTCTCATTTTTAATATATAGGTAAACGTGGTTTATTGGGTGAATTGAACATGAAATAACATAGGCCACTTTCTCAAAATGGTTATTTCCCCTACTGTTTCACACTTTCTTCCCTTTCTTTTGGGTTATGAAAATGAAGGGTAAATATTAACTCACTTTTCTCTATATATTTACATTTCACTAAAATATGTTAACCCAGCAGTTTTATTGCCTTTATTATTCTTTTAAAAATAAAAAATTATACTCTTCAGAAAGTATTTAACTCCAAATAGACTTTGTATGTTGTGGATCTTCCCATTTTCTTTAGGACTCTGGCTGACATTGATGGTGACGGACAGCTCAGAGCTGAGGAGTTTATCCTTGCCATGCACCTCACTGACATGGCCAAGGCGGGACAACCATTGCCACTGACTTTACCTCCCGAGCTTGTCCCTCCATCCTTTAGGTGGGTGTCTCTGGAGGTGAGGAGCTCGGGTTTCGTACTTAGCAGGTATGAAATTACTTGGAATTTACTGGGGCCTATTCTGGAGCTTAGAGGAGATTTAACCCTTTTTACTGGCATTTGATTTTAGTATTCAGTGAGTTGTGTTGGAGAGAAGTAGATGTGTTTTCATACCATGTTACATAAAACTGAGACTAAAGAGATGAAGAGACACTTGCCTGAAAATAGTAATTAGCTGAACCATAATTTGAGTCCATATAGCTCTGGCTTGAACATGCATATGCTGTGTACATTGTAACTATAGACATTACTGTGTTTTTAACATCTCTGTTATTATATTCTAAAATTTAAATTGCTTTAGTCATTGGGAGTCTGTTTTTATTTTCTTTTAGTTTTTTGGTGTACTAGGGTTTGAACTCAGGACCTCACATTGCTAGACAAGTACTATACTTTTTGTTTTAGTTATTTTTCAAATAGAGTCTCATGCTTTTGCCCAGGCTGTCCTTGCACCATGATCCTCCTATCTCTGCCTCCTGCATAGCTAGAACTTAAGGCATGTGCCACCACAGCTGGCTTATTTGTTGAGATAGGGTCTTGCTGACTTTTTGTCCATGCTGGTTGGTCTCTAACCACAGTCCTCCTATCTTTGCCTCTCAAATAGCTGGGATTACAGGAGTGAGCCACCACACCTAACCTGATAATCTGTATTTTTTAGTCTGAGAATTATGAAATTAAATTTCTATGTTGTTTGCTTTTCTTAGAGGAGGAAAGCAAATTGATTCCATTAATGGAACTCTGCCTTCATATCAGAAAATACAAGAAGAGGAACCTCAGAAGAAATTACCAGGTAGCATTTAGTATCTGAATTGTATGTTGATAGTCAGTTCTTTCAAATTTTACCTTGAAATGTAAATGAGTATTTAGAATGTTTACATCCTTAAAATTTTATATGCTGTATGAGGAAACTATTTGATGGACGGGATAGATTTTTTTCCCCAGTGCTAGGCAAGCACTCTACCATTGAGCTATATCCCCAGCCTGGTGGGATGGATTTGATGTTGATAAGACTGAGATAGTAAAAGTGAGAAGAAGACTGTTATGGAAGAAGAGACAGTATGTGTACTTGGCAAGAATGTAGACATCCAAGTTTGAGTAATTCTTCCATTTTAGGCAGAATCATTGGAGCAAACTTTGTGATGAAATCTTTAGATTGAGATGTTTGAAATATTGGTGGAAAAAATGTACGTGTAGCTATTTTAAAGTATTAAAAAGTTAATGAGATGTCAAATAAACCAAATAGTCACGCTGCTGTGGTTATCCTTGAAGAAAGCGCTGAAAAAAGGTTTAAACAGCATTTTTATTGGCAGGAATAGTCAAATTACTTCTCTCTTAGATGGATTCAAACACAGACATTTGTTTTTTAAAATGAATATTTTTAGAAGAAAGTAAGTATTTTTCTATTTACATTTGAGTTAAAATTATCCATAGGAGAGGTAGCCAAAGAGCGAGGGCACTCAGATGATTACTAGGATGTGCTGAAACAGCTTTCAGATTCTGTGGGCTTTTACTGTGTGAGAAAGCTTACAGTGTGCCTTCTTTAGTTACTTTTGAGGACAAGCGGAAAGCCAACTATGAGCGAGGGAACATGGAATTGGAGAAGCGACGCCAGGCCTTGATGGAGCAGCAACAGAGGGAGGCAGAACGTAAAGCCCAGAAAGAAAAGGAAGAATGGGAGCGAAAACAGAGAGAACTACAAGAACAAGAATGGAAGAAACAACTTGAACTAGAAAAACGCCTGGAGAAGCAGAGGGAGCTAGAGAGACAACGGGAGGAAGAAAGGAGAAAAGAGATAGAAAGACGAGAGGTTATTTTTAAGTTATTTCCTAAGAAAATCATTAATTTAATAAATGAGTACATTTCATGTAATAAAAACATGCTTATTTTTGGACTTTTGCTTTGCTTTTCCTCAATGATTTCATTCTTACTTAGCCTATATAACTCTGACTCTCTTGTCTCTTGAGGAGGGAAAGAGAGTCCTTAAGGTTATGGGCTTCTCCAGCAGCATCTCTGCAGGTGATACTTCAGTCAAAGGAGCATTGACTGCACAGCTGAGTTGAGTAAGGGGTAAGGTTAGTCCGTCAGCAGGAGTCCAGCTGAACAGGCCATTGGATGAAAGCATGATAAGGATTCAGATTTAGAGTCTAAGGAATTGGGAGGGTAGACAGATGAGAGTAGGGAGGTGAAGACTTGGAAAGCAACCAAGAGGGTGGCTTTGTGCAGGTCCTCAGGATAGTGTTGCATGGGGTCCTCAGCAGCACTGGCTGTGTTTTAAAGGGCCAGGAATGGAGCACAGTAAGTTTTAGTGTACTGAAAAAAAATATAAATAGAAATTTTTTCTTCTCTGACACCAGAATAGAGTTTTTGTAATTATTCCTCTTTACATTCATATTTATGAAGTTGTCCTTTAGCTTACTGAGAGAAAAATGACTATAACAAAAGGGTGGTTCTCTGAACCTACCAAAAAATGATGGATAAAACTACTTTTGTGGAAGTCATTAGGTCCATTGATAAAACTAGGTTTTCACACCTACTCTTAGGCATCTTGGCCTACTGACTGCTCAACGCTGTTACCCCCTCAACTTTTGAATGATGCAAAAATTTTACTTTAAAAATTGAATTTAATTCATTGTTTTCAGGCAGCAAAACAGGAGCTTGAAAGACAACGTCGTCTAGAGTGGGAGAGAATTCGTCGGCAAGAGCTTCTCAATCAAAAGAGTAGAGAACAAGAAGAAATTGTCAGGTTAAACTCTAAAAAGAAGAGTCTTCATCTTGAGTTGGAAGCACTGGTATGGCTAATGTTTAAGTGGGTGTTATCTGAACAGTGACAGAGTTACCTGTTGAAACATAAAATTGGTTTTTAAATCTATCTCATGAATAAATTAGTTTTAGTGTAATTAACTAGTTACGTTTTCAGATACGCTTTTTAATAGAACAGACAGTGTAGCTTACTGAAAAAGGTTAGCAACTCAAAGTATTGAGAATTAGGTCATAGTCTTAATTCACATGCTGATGAACATGTGCTCTGGGACTAAACATCATTTTCCTCTTCTGTGTCTCACTTTGCCCCAGTACAAAAGAAAGGATGTGCTAGGTCAGCAATTTTCAATTTTCAAATCTGCCTTAAGATTAGGGTGTGCGAAGGCCAATTCACAACCTAAGGCCCCACATTTACTTGCCTTATTTTTATTGGAATTTTTTTAAAGATTTGCTTGTATAAAAACGATTCTGCTAAAAAGAAAAAAAATTATTTTAAGCTACCTACCTAAATAATATCTTACAGTTCCCTCTGGTTCCACAGAACTTTGGTTCTTAGCTAATATTGGTCATTATACTTACTGATCTTTACACAACAGATGCCAGCAGGTCAAGTTCTTATAAGACTTTGTTTGAAATGCAAGGTGAGACGATAAAGAATGTCTAGAACTCTAGACCTTTACAATCCTAGGATCCTTTAAGTCTGACCTTGATAGTAGAGTAGGATTTTGCAAAAATGCATGTCCACCTGTATGATCATATTTAATTGTAATAGAGATTTTTTTTTCTCCTGGCAGTACAGGAGTTTGAACTCAGGGTTTTGTGCTTGCTAGGCAGGAACTGTACTGCTTGAGCCACACCTAAAACCCTAGATCTTGTTTGATTGTAGTTCACCATTTTACTCAGTTGACTTGAATTTCATTAAAATGGTTTTTTTTCTTTCAGAAGTTTTGGGGTTTGAACATAGGGCCTTGTACTTACCAGGCAGATGCTCTACCACTTAAACTTATTTTTTTCTTTTAAAAATTTTTATTTTATCATTTTTACATTTATTTACATGTATATACCTTATTTGGGCCACCTTCCCCCCAAAAAAGATTATTTCTTAAAATAAAATATCAGGTCATCTTTAGTCAGAAAGATACTATTTTATGCCTTCAAATGAGTAGGCAAATATTCTGTAATTATTAATCATGCCATAGTACTATAAAACTAGCTTATTTGTGCTGCATGTATATCTGTCTGAACCATCTTCTTGACTGTATATTTTTCCTTAAAAATATAATGAGAGGAGACTTTAAGATTGTTTTTTCTTTTAAGATCTGAGACAGTGTACCAAGCATAGTAACAGGTTAATTTGCAAAGTACTTATACAAACTCTATGATTTTTCAAATATGAAACATACTTTTTGTAAATCTTTCATTATTAGTGATATTTAATCAAGAATTTCATTTCTCTCGCCCCCACTGTATTAGTTTGTTAGGGCTATCATAGCAAAATTCCACAGGTTGGGCACTTAAACAGTAGAAGTTTATTATTATTTTTCCATAGTGCTGGAGGATAGAAGTCCAAGATCAAGATGTCTAGTGTTTTGGTGTCTTGTGAGGCCTCGCTCCTTGGTTTGCTGGTGGCTGCCTTATTCCTGTGTCCTCACAGGGTCTTTTCATTGTATGTGTGTGTCTCTGTTGTCTTTTGTGTCTAGATTTTTCTCTTCTTACAAGGACATTAGTCGTATTGGATTATTGCCCATCCAAATGACCTCATTTGACCTTAATTACTTCTTTAAAGGTCTGCTCTATAAGTACAGTCAATTCTAAGATTCAAGAGTTAGGACTTCAGCATGTATTTTGGGGGTCACAAGTCCAGTCTATAATAACTCCCCTTACCCTTCTTCTTAGGCCCCATTGAGAATCTCTGCTTGCTCACTCTTGTGCTCTCACTCTCTCTCTCTTTTCTACTTCTCAGAAGAAGGGGAAGAAAAGGAGTATTAGGATAGAAGAGAATTGCTGCCAAAAAGACTTCCTGGACACGTTAATTGGAGGAAATAAGTAATATTGAGGGTGAAAGAGCAGCTCAGAGAATGTAATGCTATATGTCACTGAAAACATTTCTTCTTCCCCTAATAGTAATGTTTAAATAAAAGCCTAAATGCTGAATTCAGAAAAAATTCAGTATTTCGTATTTGTGCTCTTTCGTCTTAACATATGGGCTCTTGCATTATGAAAATAATAAATACTTAAATAAAAAGACTTTTCTTCTGGTAGAACATTTCCTTTTAGCACTTTATGTGCTCTTATTTATCATATCTATATTTATATGTTTGTCCAATAGAATGGAAAACATCAGCAGATTTCAGGCAGACTTCAAGATGTCCAACTCAGAAAGCAGACACAAAAAACTGAGCTGGACGTTCTGGATAAGCAGTGTGACCTGGAAATTATGGAAATCAAGCAACTTCAACAAGAACTTCAGGTAAGTCTTTGGATACTAAGTTGTCCTTAAAGATGTACAATTGTCAGCTGGGCATCAGTGGCTTACATCTGTAATCCTAGCTACTTGGGAGGCTGAGATCTGGAGGACCGTGGTTCAGGGCCAGCCTGGGGAAATAGTATGTGAAACCCCATAACCAAAATAGCCAGAGCAAAACTGGACTGGAGGTGTGGTTCAAGTGGTAGAACACCTGCTTTACAAGTGCAAATGCCTGAGTTCAAACCCCAGTCCCACCAAAACAAAAATATGTGCAGTTCCTGAATTATGTATAATATCAAGAAGTCTACAGACCTCCTCAAGCTGTGCTAGATATGTGGTTAGGTTCCATTTAATATTTATACATAAATAGACATTTACCACTCTGAGTTTTAGCCCTTTAATAAAAACTATGTTTATATATTTGTATTGGGTCCATTCTTGCTGCTATCACAGGATATCTTAGGCTAGATAATTTATAAATGAGAAATTAATTGCTTACAGTTCTGGAGGCTTGAGAATTTAAAGACTAAGATGCTAGCAAACTCATTGTCTGGTGAGGGCTTGCTCTCTACTGTGTCTTCACATAGCACAAGGGACAAGGTAGCTCCCCTCATTTTCTTTTATGGACACTAATCCCATTCATTAGGAAAGAGTCCTCATGATTTTATCACCTCTTACCTCTTAACACTATAACATTGAGGCTTAGATATCAACACAGGAATCTTTGGAGGACGCCAACATTAATATCATAGCATACATTACAATAAGGGTATTAGTACCCTTTAGGAAATTTTAAATTTATTCTTTTGAGAATCGTGGTGAGAGACTGTTGACTATGTCCCTCAGAGACTTAGGAATTCTGTTCTTTACTTGTGGAATAGGGTTTGGTTGTTTGCAGAATACAAGTGTTCTGTATCTGTAGAGTCTTCTTGCCCAATTTCTCTTACTGTATGAACTGCCAGCGAGTTTTTTCTCTTTATCACAGCAAATACAGACAAAGACTAAAAATCAGAAAATATTTCCTAACTGACTTAAACTTACTTCCCTACATTTCCCTCAGTTTTTAGTCCCTTTTTGATACACACGTGTGCCTTCTTGAGTGTCATGATGCTAACATAGGCAGTCTAGTGAAGGTACTGGGCACCTCTTATCCTTTGTCCACTGTCATCCATTAGAATGCTGAAAATTCAAGGCTTTCTTTATTGCCTTTAAATTTCAGTCATTCATTCATAAACTGATGTTTAAATATTTGCTTTTTAAATCCCGCATAGTTCCATTCTAGCTTATTTATAATATAGAAACATTCTATAACTACATATTATTATTATACTAAGTTTCAAAAGTGATTAAATCATGTTTTAAACTTTTTGAAAAATTCTTGGATATTCCAGAGTTTTAATCACGTTCTACTTGTTCTTTTGTAAGGAATATCAAAATAAGCTTATCTATCTGGTACCTGAGAAGCAACTATTAAATGAAAGAATTAAAAACATGCAGCTCAGTGACACACCTGGTAAGTCTCTTAAATTTTGTTTTTGTCTCTTTTTTTCTTTTTGGAATGACTATATCCTTTTTAAAAATATTTATTTATTCTGATAAAAATAACATTTTTGCCTCTAAGCTAAAAATTTCAAAATATGCAAAATATTATTACAGATGAGACTATTTTTAGTAATAACAAATAAATTGTATGCCTTCTTGTGTGTTAATATTTTTATTTACAGAATTCAAATATCAATGCTATAAAATTTTAGACTACATTAAATAAGATCTAAATGTGGCTCTAACACAAGATTACATGTATATTTTGTCAAAATCCTGCATTGATTGTAAAGAACTATTTGGGAGGAGACTTTTCTGTGAGGCCACGCTGGGACTCTCAGGTGACAGCAGTGATAGGCCTAAACAGACTGTACCTTTTTCAGGCCCTCATGTCATCCAACTTGGATTCATACAGAGAACTATTGTCTGTGAAACAAAACGTTTTTCTTGAGTCAGGACCCCATCAGATATCTTTAAAAAAATCTCTATGTTAGATAGCATGTAACAATATACCAGAATAAAAAAGATTCATTCATAGATAAGTAGGGCTGGGGGCATGGCTCATGTGGTAGAGCGCTTGCCTAGCAAGCATAGGGCCCTGAGTTCAAACCCCAGTACTGCCAAAAAAAAAAAAGTAAATAAAATAGAGAAGTAAATGCATTGAACTGGCTGATTAAAGTATTCTAAATGTATACCTTTCAGTCTTTTTGTTCTAATACACTTCGGACTGTTTAGGAGGTCCAATAAAGTGTTCCTATTCTCTGTCCAAGTTCTGAGCAAATTGAAAAATAAGGCATGGACTGAGAACATGGCTCAAGCAACAGAGTGAAAAATAAGACAAAGTGCAAGATGAATGAGAAAACTGATAGTGAACTGCATAGTTCACAGTTGTAAACCTTAAATATAGATTCCTGTGGCCTATTCAGTCTCCAGAAAGCAAAGGCTGGGAAGAGTCTGTTATTACACATGCCTCAGTCCTTATCTTCAGCTCACCCATTTGTGGAAGAGTAGGAGTAGCTGGGAATGTGCTCCTGGAGGGTCTTTCTTGCTCATGGAAGAAACACTAGAAAAAGTTCACGCTTGGGAACTATTACCATGTTACTCCCTTCCACTGATAGGATCTATGCTTTCTTCTCTCAGAAAGTCTTCCTCATTATCTGACTCTTTGGAGTTTTTGTTTGAGGCAGGGTCTCAACTGTGTAACACAGACTGGCCTGGAACTCTCTGTGTAGCCCAGGCTGACCTCCAATTTATTACCCTCCTCCCTTGGCCTCCTAATTGCTGGGATTATAGGAGTACATAACCATACCTGGCTTTGCATCTTATTCTTTTTTTGTTCAAAGTGTATCAGGCCCCTACCTCATTCCTCCATAGGCATTCTAGAAGCAGGAGGGGCCAACCAGAAAAAAATCATTATCATCTTCATTGTTATTGTTTGTATTGTGAATAGAATGTTGACTATGTCTTATTGGGGACCTAGTAGATAGATCTACTGTCTCTCTGTGGAATATAATCTGTTCAGCTGTTACTTATTTATTTGGTTATAGTGTAGTTCAAAATAGGAAACTTGTTTGGGATTTGAATAGTGGTCTATATTCTATAGATTCCTCTCTCCATAACATTTACCATTTAAGGTTACCAGCCATGAGCCAAGCACCATGTTAGGCAGCTTTAATGTATAATTTCCTTTAATTTTCACAGCAATCCTGTGATGTAGTCATTCCCATTTGCAGTTCATGGAAATTGAGACTAAGAGAGATTAAATAGTATTCACGTTGGTGGAGTGATAGTGCTTAAATTCATGTCTGGCTGTAAAATCTACTGTAATGTCACATTGCCTTCCATTTAGCTAACATGATGCTCATGTATAATCAAGTTTTCTGTTAAAACCTGCATTATTAGTAATGCCTATTGTTATAAATAAATAAATAAAATTTTACTGATGGACATAAAAGATTCCCAAATAGAGACATTTTCTCTTCCTGAATGAGCTAGACTAACACTATACTAACATTATACTATACAGCAATACTATGTCACTTCTCTACTAATCCATCCATATATTCACTTCTGTTCATGTTTCTTTAAATAAAATTTGGCAAAGGTAATTCACTTAGAAGAGCCAGGCATGGTGGTACACACATAATTCTAGCACTCAGGAGGTGGGAGTAGGAGTGTATTGAGTTCAAAGCCAACCTGGGCAAAATAGCATGACCCGATCTCAAGAAAAAAAAATCTCAAAGTGATAACTTTTTTCATAATGAAAATCATCATAAATGGTAAAAAAAAATAAATAAAATAAATTAAGTATATATAATACAAGAATAAAGATTCTACATTTGATTCTACAAATCAAAAATTAAGACAGCCAAATAGTGTTGAAGTCATGGCACAAGCCATACAACACCTGTCTATTAAGCATGAAACCTGGGGTTCAAACCCCAGCACTGCCAAAACCCAACCAAACAAAAAAGAGAGCTGGGCTCAAGCCCCAATCCCACCAAAATAAGTAGAATAAAACAGGAAAAGAAGAAAAAGATAAAAGATAGAAAGATAAAAACCATAGTCATCTCAGTAGATATAGAATAAGCATTGTCCTCTCATAATAGAAACTTTAAAAAAAATAGGTTATCAAAGGAAATTTCTTTTACACAATAAAGACCATTTGTGAAAAGCTTACAACTAACACCATAATAAGTGGGGAAAAACTGAAAATTTTTTATTTAAGATCCAATACAAAGCAAGGATGCCCACTCTTGCCACTTCTGTTCAGCATAGTACTAGAAGTACTAGCAAGAACAGACAAGAAACCTAGAAGGTAACACACATGCACAGGAAATCAATGCGAGTCAACTCCCTGTATAGCTATCCTTATCTCAACTAGCAAAAACCTTTGGTCCTTCCTATTATTGCTTATACGCTCTCTTCAACAAAATTAGAGTTAAGGGCAAAATAGTTTCTGCCGGGTAGCGAGGGGATGGGAGGGGGAGAGTAGGGATGGGTGGGGGAAGGGGGGAGAAATGTTCCAAACATTGTATGCACATACGAATAAAAAAAAAAAAACAGACAGAAAAGGAAGAAAAGGCATCCAAATCAGAAAGGAAAGTATAAAGTTACCCTTGTTTGCAGATGATATGTCCTAGAGGTAGGAAACACTAACAACTCCACAAGAAAACTAATAAATGGATGAATAAAGTTGCAGAATACAAAATCAGCATTAAAAAATCAGTAGCATTTTCCTACACCAGTAACAGTCTATATGAAAAAGTAAGAAAATAATCCCATTTATGGCAATATCAAAAATAAATACTTAGGAATAAATTTAACCAAGGAGGTGAAAGATCTGTACACTGGAAAAGTAACACATTGATAAAAGAATTGAAAAAGACAATAAATGGAAAGATACCCTGCATCTATGGATCAGAAGAATTAGTATTGTTTATCATGCTGAGCTGGAAATGTAACTCAGTTGTAGAGCCCTTGCCTAGCAGTGTGAGGCCCTGGGTTTGTGCCCAACACTGCCAAAAAAAAAAAAAAAATCATGCTCCCCAAAGCAATATACAAATTCAATATATTCCCTATCAGAATTACAGTGTTGTTTTTCACAAAAATAGAATAAACAATTCAGCTGGGTACCCGTGGCTCAAGCCTATAATCCTAGCTACTTGGGAGGCTGGGATCAGGAGGATCATGGTTTAGGCCAGCCAGCCACAAAAAGTTACCAAGACCCCATCTCAACCAATAGTTGGGTATGGTAGTGTACATCTGTCATGCCAAGCTACGGGAGGCTAAGATTGGGAAGATCTCAGTTAGGCAAAAAAGTTTGTAAGACCTCATCTCATCAGAAAAAGCTAGGCATGATGGTGGTGCCTGTTATCCTAGCAGCTGTGGGAAGTATAAAATAGGATTGCTGTCCATGTCAGCCTGGGAAAAAAGTGAGACCACATCTCCAAAATAACCAGAGTTAAAAAAAAAGCTAGAGGCTCAGCTCAAGTGGTAGAGAAAAAACAATCATAAAATGTATGTGAAATCACAAAAAGATTCCAATTAACCAATCTTTTTTTTGGGGGGTGGGGGGTTAAGGTTTGCACTTCTGGCTTTGCACTTGCACTCCACCATTTGAGCCACATCCCCAGCTCTTTTTGCTTTAGTTTTCAAATAGGGTCTTGCGCTTTTTGCCTGGGGCTGGCTTCAGATGATAATCCTCCTTCCAGGAGCCTCTTGAATAACTGGAATTACAGTTGTTCTTTGCTGGGATTCCCATTTGATTCTGTTGTTTGACATGGGGTCTCCTAACTTTTTGCCTGGGCTGGCCTAGAACAGCAATCTTCCTGATCTCTGCCTCCCCAAGTACTAGGATTATAAACATGAGCCTGGCCCCAGATAACCAATCCTGTGACAGAAAATCAATGTTAGGGACATCGTAGCTCCTGATTTCAAGCACTACAAAGCTATCATAATCAAAACAGACATAAGAACAACATGAATGAACCTGGAGGATGTTATATGGAATATGGCAGACATAGAAGGGCAACTACTACATCATCTCACTTCTGTGTGAAATATTAAAAGGTAGGATTTGCAGAAGTAAAGAGTAGAATGGTGGGAAAAGGAAGATTGGAGAGATGTTGCTCTAAGGACACAAAGTTTCTGTTAAGCAGAAGGGATAAATTTGAGAGATCTGTTGTACAATGTGGTGACTGAGGTTAATGACAAGGTGTTGTGTTCTTGAAAAATCTCAGAGAATAAATCTTTAGTATTCTCATCACAATAAAATAATGAAACTAGTTAGAATTTATTTTTTAAAAGGGAAGGGGTAAGAAAGAATAATAGAGGGAATTTGATCAAAATACATTATATGTCCATACAGAAATATCACAAGTCCCTTTCTACAATTAATGTGTGCTAATAAAAGAGGGTAAACAGTTCTCATCACAAAAATGTTATGTGAGGTATTGCATATGTTAGTTGGATCAATTTAGCTATTTCATTACATATGTGTATGAATGTTTGACAACATGTCAAAAGAACATGTTGTATGTGATAAATATTTACAATTTTAAATTTGTCAAAAAAAGCAGACATGTATGTCAGTGGAACAGAATAGAGGGCCTAGAAATATATGCAAGCATTATGGTAAACTAATTTTTTTACAAAGGCACCAAGGACACAATGGGAAAAGGATAATCTCTTGTGTAAATGGAATTGGGAAAACTGGATAAGCACATGCAGAAGAATGAAAGCAGGCCTTATCTTATTCCATTCACAAAAATCAACTCAAGACAGACTAAAGACTTAAATGTAAGACATGAAATCATAAAACTCCTAGAACAAAACACAGCCATAAGTACCTGGGCATTGTTTTTTTGGGTAATACCAAAAATAGAAAATAGAAATAGAAAAGTGTTATGGAAATAATATTTTGAGTGTCATCAAAAGCTCCAGAAACAAAATTAAATAAATCGTGCTACATGAAGCTGAAGAGTCTGCAGAGCAAAGGAAACAGCAGAATGAAAAGGCAGTCTACGAATGGGAGAAATCCCTGCAAACTCTGTATTTGATTGGGGTCGATGCCCAACATGTAAGGAACTCATACAACTCAATACCAAAAATGCGTGACTTGCTTTAAAAATGGTTGAAAGACCTGAATAGGTGTTTCCTCAAAGAAAACATAAAAATGACCAGTTTTTATGTTTGAAAAAGTGCTCATCATTACTAATCACCAGGAAAATGCAAATCAGAACTGTATTGAAATACCATTTCACACCTCTTAGGATGGCTAGTGTCAAAAAGATAACAAATAAGTGCTGGTGAGTGTGTTGAGAAAAGGGAACTTGTGCACACCGTTGGTAGGAATGTAAATGAGTACAGCCATTATGGGAAGTGGTGAAACAACCCCACAATCAATTAAAAATTGAGCTACCATATGATCAGCAATCCTACATCTGGGTGTGCATCTGAAGGAAATAAAATCGCTGTCTCCGAGAGACACCTGCACAGCCCTGTTGGCCATAGCATCTCACCAGCAGTCAAGGAATGGAAACAACTTAAATGTCCTTCAGCAGGTGAATAGGTAAAGAAAATGTATGTGCGTATACATGTGTGTATGTGTGTGTGCCTACAATGGGATATTACTCTGCCTTAAAGAGAAGGAAATCCTGCCGTATGTGACAATATGGATGAGCCTGGAGGCATTATGCTAAGTGAACTCAGCCAGGCCATGGAAAGATAAACACTGTGTTACCTCACTTATGTGGGCTCTAAAAAATGTTGAACTCAGAAAAACAGAGTAGATTGGTGGTTGTCAGGGGTCGAGAGTAGGGAGATGTTGGTTCAAGGGCACAGGCTTACAATTAAACGTGAATAAGTTTTGAAGACCTAATGTACAGAATGATGACTTTAGTTAATAATAATGTATTAAGCTTGCTCAAAAAGTACAGGTTGAATGAGGTGATGAATATGTTAATTTGCTCCACTGGACTAATCATTTCACTATCAAAGCATCATGTTGTACAGACAAGACAGTTTTAAAAGAGAGTTAAATGTGCTTATCTTTCTATACAACCATTCTTTCACCATCTAGCCTTATGAAGTACTTTGACATGTGCATTAAAATGTGTATACGGCCTAGTGCAGTAGCTTACACCTGTAAGCCTAGCTTCCAGGGAGACAGAGCTTGGGAGGATTGAGGTTTGAAGCCAGCCTGAGCAAAAAGTTAGTGAGACCCTTATCTCAACCAGTACCTGAGTGTGGTGATGTATGCCTGTAATCCCAGCTATGCAGGAAGCATGAATAGAAGAAATTGTAGTTCAGGCTGGCCCCAAGCATTAATGCAAAACCCTATTTCAAATTCACCTAAAAGCAAAAAGGGCTCAAGTGGTAGAGCATCTGCCTGGCATGCATGGGGCCCTGAGTTCAAACCCCAATACCACAAAAAATGGTCATACAAGGATATTTATAGTGTCATTTTTATATAATGGTAGAAAATTAGAAATGAGCTAAATGCTAATTAAAAAAAAAAAGGAATGGTTACATAAGATACGAAATAGGCAAAATATAGGATATCACAGAGCATAAAGCATGAATTTGATCTAAGACCAGGCTCAAGCCTATAATCCTAGCTACTCAGGAGGTGGAAATTGAGAGGATTGCCATTCAAGGCCAGCCTGGGCAAAAAGTTCATGAGACCCCGTCTCAGTCAATGACTGGGCATTGTGACACACACTGGGGAAGCACAAATAGGAGGGTCCCATGTGAGATCCTATCTCAAAAATAACCAAAGCAAAAAGGTCTGTTGGAGTGGCTCAAGTGTTAACAGCACCTACCTAGCAAGCATGAGGCCCTGAATTTAATTCCCATCCTGCCATTAAAAACAAAAGTATATCTATATGCCCTGATTGATAAGATATATTGTTAAATTTAAAGCAAGTTGCAGAGCAATATAGACAATGTGATTTTATTAAAACCCAATGGAAATAACAGTTAAATATGTACACATGTAAGTATAAGTAAAAGGGAAATAGCTGGGGCTTGAGATGGAGGGCTTAGTTTTCTACTGTGTATGCTTTATTTAAAGTGTATACTTGATTTCTGTACCTTAAAAATACAATAAAGTTTTAAAATATTCACTTAGTAACATTGCTATTTTAGTGTAAAACATGTTTACATCTAGTTTCTCCATCCTTGAATAAATTTGTAAAAAGAAAAGATGTAAAATGAAGCACTATCCTTATCTCCTAAAGTACTACTACTAAATAATCCTGATAGAGATACGTACTGAATTATTGCTGTGGATACTCTATTCATGCTGTCATTCTGAGTAAATTCCAAACTGCTTTAACAATTTGTGCTCCTATTGACTGTTCACTTGGGCCGGGCTTCATGTGAAGGCCTCACAGTCTGCACCTTACTTAATGAGGGGGGATGATGGCCACCTGAAGATGGAGAGCCAAACTGGTGAAGCGCCCTATCAAAGTGGACTTTCTTTTGTGTACAGAATGAATGCCTATAGCATTTCTTCTAAGAATCTTCCCAGGATATGGTCTGGGAAGAACTGTCCATGGAGTTTTTCTCCTTTACTCATCCACATAATGTGGATACAGCTTTTGTATTTCTCTAGTTACACCACTGTGACCAGGCAGTAAATACTGGTAATGACACAGGAACCAAATGTAAACAGTGTGATATTTTTACATTTCAGATTCAGGGATCAGTTTACTTCATAAAAAATCATTAGAAAAGGAAGAATTATGCCAAAGACTTAAAGAACAATTAGATGCTCTTGAAAAAGAAACAGCATCTAAGCTTTCAGAAATGGATTCATTTAACAATCAACTGAAGGTATTTGTCTTGCATTATATTTATTTCTAGATAGCTGCCCCCTTACCCTTTCTTATACTGACTGAATAGAATGAATAACTAATGCTATTGTTGTACTATGACCTTTTCATAACTTATTTTTTAATTTCATCTATATCAGAATTGCACAATGTTTAATGTTCTCTAAAATACTATAAACATTGTTTCATACAACTAAATGTTTCATTTTCCATCCTTTCCAGTTTTTGATAACTGCTGTTTTTCTTAGTATCTGTATATTTCAAGAACAATTGTCTTTGTTGTTATTAAAGAACTGATGTCAGCCAACATTCTGAAATGGGAAACCGAAAAATTAAGATAGTTTGGGTTGTTGTAGAATCTCTCTTAACACGCTGAATAATTTTTTGCTCGTTTGTTACAATGTAATTTAATTAGCCTTTATGAAATAACTCAGTAATCAGTGAAATCCAGAGCAGAATCTGACCCTGCAAACTTGGCATGAAAAATTAAGTTCATAATGTATTGTTTGCTGCAGTGGCAGAGCACATGTCCACACTATACTGTGCTTACCCTTCTGTACAATGTTAGCTGTATTCTGAAACCATACCTATGACTGGAGATAATAAAAGCTAAAAGCCAGACTAATGGCACATAATTCAAATTTAGGAAGAGTCTCAATTATTCTTTTGCTATCATGCATAAAGTTTTTAGTGCAAAGGGTATTACATAGCATTTCTATTTGAAAGGTCTTTCTTCATATGGTTTTTATCTTGCCAACTTATTTAGAATAACTTTAACACCAGCTATGGAGTAAACAGCATAATAAAGAAAAAACTGAGCTGAAGGCATGGCTTAATTGGCAGAGCACCTGTCTAGCAAGTGCAAGGGTCCTGAGTTCAAACTCCAGTACCTCAAAAAAAGAAAAGAAAAAACCCTGGCGCTTCAGTTAAGGGCAGGAGGGTGATGGGAACAATGTTAATACACTTTACACAATCTATATCCTGTAGAAAAAAATCTTAAAGAAAATCATTTGCATCAAAGATCAAGTAAGCCAGCCACATTATCTTCCTTAACTTTATTATTTTTTTAAAGCTGTACATAGTTTAACTGGCTTTTTATCTGCCTTATCTTACAGTGTGGGAATATGGATGACTCTGTTCTTCAGTGCCTTTTGTCTCTGCTAAGCTGTCTCAACCACCTCTTCCTCTTACTTAAGGTTATTTTCTAATATCTAGCTTCTTTTTTTGAGTTACTTCACTGTTTTTTTTTAAAGTAGACTATTCTTTGCCTTTGAGTATTTTTGCTTGAAATAACGTATACAATAAAGACCCTTTTTCTTTCTGCTTGCTCTAATATTCTTCTGCTGTCTAATTGCCTGTTTGAGTCTAATGCCAGAAATCAGGAAGGCCACCCACAATAACCTTTCTCATGAGGAACCCAACTGGTTCCCTTACATCATCCCTGTGAAGTGGGTTAACTAATGGATGATTACAATTCAAGGGGAAACTAAGAGAATGTAAGATTAAATCATCCATATCACTGAAGACCATTGCTTAAGTTTACACTTTCTGAAATCTCATGCAAGGTTATATCATGTATGCATCAAGCTGCATCCTAATTCTACCATGAAGAAAAATTTAAAGATCCAGTAGTTCAGGGGTAGCTTTAGTTAGATCTAGTTACCAGGCCTCATATTTAGACACACTTACACTTCAGATAAGACTGTTATTTGCTTTGTTATATGTAACACACAGAATATTTAAAATACTTACTAATCCTTACTTTAATATAGTTTAAAGGAAGGTGTTTCATGTTAGCCACTTGCTTACCTTAGTAGTTTTTACTACACATTCTTCTCAGTATTAAAGTGGATGACAGAGGCAGTTGCATTCCACAGTAAAGACAGGAACATCATAAGTGCAGCTCATTTGTTACCTAAGCAAAGGTAGGGAGATTGGGAAGATGGCAGCAGCATGGGCCTGTACATTAGCTTTTATGATTATAGCATGACTGGCCAGATTTGTTACAGAATGCACAGCAACTTAAACCTAAGTTTCTTCATCTGTAGAATGAGGTTCAATGGTGAGTTGTGGACTGTACTCACTTATATACTCAATTCTTTCAGTTAGCAGTTGGTTCTCTACAGGCCAGCAGATTACTCTTCTCTCCTGTTTTGTTTTCTTCCTTCTGCTTTCGCTATCTAGTCTTTCACTGCTTACTGATACTTTCTTCAGAGGCAATTTAGGAAACTGTTGACTAAAGGGGTCAATCTGTACTGTCAGAGTAGTTAGGAGACATGACATGTAGTCATCATTGTAAAATGATGCAGAGTAATCAGTCAATGTAGTACTGAAAAATATCCATTGACTTTGTCAACAAGGAGACCTTTGAAAACCTTGCTTTTTGAAAGTGCCATTTCATTTGAGTTGTAAGATCAGGAGTGAATGGGAATCAAGGAAAGGATACATGAGCATGAACAACTCTGGGGAGAGTGAGAGGAAAGCATGAGTTGAAGGAAAAAAATTTGAGGAGGCAACAAAAAGAAAAGGAGGGTAGGGGGAAGAGATGGATTTTGGATATAAGAAGTGGTGGTAATTGACAGAGCACAGTATCTGAAGAAGCACATTAAGACAGAACCCAGAGTACAGATTAAAGAATTACATGAATAATAATACTTGCAGTGTTACATGGGGAAAAAATGGATGTAGTTAAATTTATCAGTGGAAAGTAAGCTGACAGTTTCAATATTTATAATTAGAAGTAAATTGAACCATCACAAAGAATCTTCCTGGATGAGTGAGGACATAGTAGAACTCATCCAAGGCCAGAGAAAGTTACACATACAAAAAGTTTTACTGATTTTGAAATGGAATGATGATAGATTAATGAGGCAAGGTTTTTAGCTGATAGTGAGGAGAATGAATGGAAGATTAGGACATTTCAGGAAAAAGAAGTGGGCATGAAATAAACATCTTGATGGAGTCCTGTCGGTACAAGCATGGTAGAGAAAAACAGCAACTATTTGAACAATGTTGGATACCTATTTGAAGTTAAGAGGTCCATGAATTTAAATTGAAGACTGCATGCTTAATTAAATGACTTTTTTTTCCCACTAATGTTCAGCTGCTTAGATGTAAGCACAGAGAAAGCTGGTGAAATGATTTCATACAGGTTTGGAGTTTTACTAGACATGGACCAAGGAGGAGGAACAGGAAGTTAGAGACTTAACACAAAAATTATGATAAAGAGGAACTTTGAAATATGAACCTAGGTGTGATGGGATATGAAGAGAGGAAGTGGTGATGACAAAAAAAAGAGAATGACAGGGCCAATAGAATGGGAGTCTCGATGAGGTTGAAAATTGTTGAAATGGCTATACCAGGTATAAGAAAAGCTTGAAGGGTAAGCACTTATTTGAAGAATGGGATATTTGATCAGTGGTGTTCTGTTTCTGATTATATCAGGACTCAGTACATACTAATGGAACTGGTAGATTTTAAAAGGTCACTGCTAGCCACACACTGGTAGTGGCTCATGCCTGAAATCCTAGATACCCAGGAGGCTGAGATCAGAAGGATGGAGGTAAGCACAGGAAAATAGTTAATGAGACCCCATCACCAAAATAACCAGAACAAAATGAACTGTAGGTGAGCTGGAGGCACAGTGATAGAGTGTCTATTTTGAAAATGTGAAGCCCCAAGGAGGGGAGGAAGGAAGAAAAAAGTCACTTGTGAGACCAGCTTCAGAGATGAGGTTCTTCTATGCAGATGTCAAGGATTTAGAGAATAGTGAGGATGAATGAATGAGGATCAGTGGCTAGGTGATCATTGGTGACAATAAAAAGGAGAGAGTGGTGCTTCTGGCTAATAGGAGCCTCAGAAAAACAGAGTTTGTAAGAGTGAGGGGATATATTGCTCTGGAAATAACAAGGAAGAACAAGGAAGATACTAGTTATCCCCTGACCCTGGTGAAAATGAAGTATGTAATGATAAACTGAGAGAGAACTAGATTAAAAGCAGTGTCCTTAGGGGCCAGCCAAGAGAGCGAGTAGGTAAGCAAATTTCCATTCAAAGAAGATGTGTGCATATATGGGAGTTTTCTGATCACAAAGAGAAAGTTCCAGGAGAGTTGGAGGAGTTTGAGGAGAGGGTGAGTGGGGATTGGGTCAGATCAGGTGGTAAACAGTAAGAATTAAGGTGATGAAGAATGATAAGAAAGGCTAGGTGTATCAGTAGGTGAGATGGAATTGGTCCTGATAGCCTTGGAGAACAGGCTCTTTGATCTAATGCTGTGGTCCTTTGAGATAATAGAACATCTAGAATGATTGCTCCCTTAGTCTACTTATAGTGACAACAGAAGAATAATTTTTATAATTGTTTCTTAGGAAGTTATGTTTTATTGAACCTGTATATATGTACAGAATTTATGATAATTTTTACTCTTTTGGTCAAGTCAGACCAAGACAAATAGCAAAATCAGTGGACTCAAAAGTGAGGCATTTGACAGACTATTAATTCATTAAGAAAATTCACATATTATTCAATCTTTAGCAATGAAATGCAATGAAAAAATTCTGACCTAGAAGTCTGACAAAGTGAGTGCTAGCCCTATACGTGCCAGTTGCTAGTTTTATTTGTCATTTACCCTCCAGATGTTACTGACTTCACTTGTAAGGTGAAGCTTGTAAGTCATCCTGTTTTCTTTGCAGAATATTATTATTAAATCAAGTAGCATATATGTAATATATAACATACATACACATACACTTACAGAAGTACTTTGTGAACTCTTATGTGCTACATATTTTTGTTATTTTTATTAGGGAAGGGGTTGTCCACAGTCTCTAAAATACCTCTAGTGTGTTGGAAAGTCATCACTATTGACTTTGGATAATAACTGGGAAGTGTTTTCCTGTAGAGGAAAAAAATAGAATCTGTCAACACCACAGTTGCAGCTTCCTCCAGGACTTTAGGTCCTAGCCTGTACTCCCAAGGATCTGAGCTAATCCATGTTAGTGGTACCCCTCCAGGTGACAAGGTGAGATTTTGATTTATGCAGATAATAATAAGGCTAATTGGGAGACAAGGAACATTAGTCCTTTGGATTGTAAGTAAAAACTTAAATGAGCTCTGTACTAGAGGTTAGAGAGGACATTTCCCAAACTCCTAAGGTTAATTAACTCTTTCAGAGGTTAATTTCATGTCTACCATTGGAACCTCTTTTCTCTGAGGTGGAGTATAATAGTAGGAGGCATGGGTCTAAAGAGCTGCTGGAGGCATGGGTTAGAAATACTGGTTTGTAAAGTAAAGCCACTTAGCCACGTTTATCTCATGAACTCTTAAATGGTTCAGTGTAGTCTCTAGTTTGCCTCTCGAAATGACACTATAAATTCATGAAATACGTAGGGTTATTTTTTAAATTATGAGTCATGAAATATTTTAAAAACTTAGTATATTTATATATGTGCTTCTTTATTAATGAATTAAATACTAGGTTTAGTGACAGATATAATACCATTTAAAAGTCAAGATGTATATTATGTATCTATCAAGTTATCTATGAATATAAGAAAATATGTGTGATTTCTATTGGTAAAAAATAAATACTGATAATATTACTATGCTTTATTGCTTATATTTAACATTGAGCAGATGGCGTATTTCAGATAGAAGTTAGTGAAAATAAAAATAACTTTTGTTCCTATCCAAGTTCATACGCTTCTAAATTATATTAAAAAGATTAAAGACCTTGTAAGGTCTTGTGGGCATCAGATTAAGAACTGCTGCTGTAAAGGGAAGGTGATTGGACTTGCTGATTCTCTTGTTTGCTTTTTCTGCAGTTACAGAGATTGGTATGATAACATGTTCCACATAATTATGGATTGGTCTCTTTTAATTTTGTTAGCTTTTTTAAATTATAGATTTTGAAGCTGTGTTATGGTACTTACAAATTTAAAATTATTATAGTTTCCTGGTAGATGGATACATTTATCATTATGATATGTTCCTCTAGAAATGCTTCTTGACTTAAAGACTTAACTTTCTGCCTGGTGCAGTGTCACAAACCTATAATCTCAGCACTCAGGGGACTGAGACAGGAGGATCTCAAGTTCAAGACCATCCTGGGCTACATAGCAAATTGAAGCCAGCCTGGGCTACCTAGCAAGACCCTGTATCAAAGAAAAAACTTCATTTTCTGATTCTAGTTTAACTATATCAGCTTCCTTTGGGTTAGAGTTACCATGGTATATCTTTTTCCACCTTATTTATAACCTATTTGTAGCTTTACATTTAAATTGTATCTTTTAAATAGTATAGTTGGAGTCTCTAAGATTCATTCTCTCTTTGTATTTTCATTGGAGTAGTTGGTCTTTTTAATGTAATTACTGACAAATTTGGACTTGAATCTGTCATTTTGCTCTTTGTTGTCTATTTATCTATCTGTTTTGAGGTCTGTTTTCTCTCCTTGCCCTTTTATTGACCAGATTTTTTTTTCCTCCTCTGTAGCTTGTTGGTTACACCTTCTTTTTCTTTTCTGTTGGTGGGTATCCTAAAAATTACAGTTTGCAGGCTTGATTTATTTAAGTCTAATATAAATTAGTAATGTTACTACTTCCCAGATAATGAATGCTAAGACCTCAGGGATACCTTAACTCCTTTATCACCACATACCTTCATGTGTGTGCTATTTTTGCTATATGTGGCATTTTTGTACTGCTTTATACTGTCAGCATTCATTAAGATGTCCTTATGCAAATTTCTGTTATCCTTACTCCCTCCTATATCTCTGCTTCATCTGAGAGGTTTTTATTCTGCTGAAAGAATGTCCCTTCGCGTTTAGTGTGCATCCTTTAAAGCATGTCTGTTACTGATGGAGTCTATTTTTTCTTTGTAAATGTCTTTATTTCACTTCTGTTTTCAAAGAATATTTACAGTGTGTGTCTTTAGTTTTCACTAGTTTTACTGTAATGTGCTTTGGGGTTCATGGTCCTTTTCAAATCTGTGACCTGATATCAATTACTTTGAGAAAGTTCTTGACCTGTATTTCTTCAAGCATTACTTTCATCATTTCTTTCTCTCTTTTTCTGGGACTCTGAGTACTATTTCACTCTGTTCAGTGAGCCTCTTGTGTTCTAGTCTTTGTTTCTATCCTTTTGTATCTCTGTGCTGTAGTCTATATACTTCTTTTCACCATTTTAGAATTCAGTATTCATCTGTGTCTAATCTGTTAATCTCATCTCTTGAGTTTTTAATTTATATGTTCTTCAGTTCAAAGATTCCAATTTTATTCCTTTTCATAATTTCCAGTTCTTTGCTGAAAAGCACTATCTTACTATCTGATTTCTTGAATATTTTAATCACTTTTGTTTTAAAGTTCTCTTTTTTTTTTAAATGCTAGGGATTGACTTCTAGGGCCTCATATATGGTAAGTAAGTGCTCTACCACTGATCTGTACTCCAAGTTCATTGTTTTAAAGCTCTTATTTAATAACTCAAATAGCTATACATCTGATTCTATTGCGTACCTTTTCTTAGTGGTTCATGTGTGTATGTGTTTTGTTTTTTTAAACAGGGTCTTAATATGTAGCTCATGCTAGCCTCAAACTCATGATCCTCTACCTCCCAAGTGCTGGGATTGCAGGCATGTACCACTGCGTCTGGCTTTTTCTCTTAATTCTTAATCACCTGATTTTGACTCCAGATATATCTGGTAACCTTTTATTGAATTCCAGACTTTGGTTTGAAAAATTATAAAAATAATTTGGTTATTTTTTTATAATTTGATAAATGATTCTTTCCAGGCAGAATTTTCTTTTGCTTCTGGCAAACAGGGTGCAGAAGATCACCTTAATTCAGTCATTGATTGAGCTGATTCAAAGCTAGATTGCTCTGCTTGCTCACCCTCTAATCCTGGGAGTCTCTATAACCAAAAGCCTAGAAGGTTTACCAAGTTTCTTCCTCCTGAGTTTGCCTTTGTTTCCCAATCCATAACACAGCTGGGGGCTCTGCTCAGTGTCATAGCTGCCACTTCACCCTCAGCTCCTCAATCTCTTACCCATGATTCAGCAATGGATGGGTGCCCGGAGGGAGAAGTTCTCTCCAGGCTCATGGCTTCTCTAGGGCCTTGATAGCACTCCAGAATCTATAAACAAGTAACCTGTGTAGTTTATTCAGCCTTCTAGTTCTTGGCAGGAGGATTGTCCTGCAAAAACTGATCTGCCATTACTGGAAGAGATCCCAGTTATTTTTTTATACTGAGCCTGCATGGGAGGCAGCCCCATTTCAAAGATTCAAGGCTTCAAATAAAACCTCCTTGGAAAATTACTGAAAATGGGAGGTATACTTTGAATTCTGCCCAGCAAGAGATTCTGTAAGATTCTTTATTATCTTGCTTATATTTACTTTCCTTCCTTCCTTCCTTCTCTCCATCCTTCCCTCCTTCCCTCCTTCTCTCCCTCCCATCCTCAAAGGTACTGGGGTTTGAACTAGGGGCCTCTCATTTGCCGGGCAAGCACTGTACCAGTTGAGCCATACCCCCATCTCTTTTTGCTTTAGTTTTATTTCTCATATTTTTCAGATAGGGTCTCAGGCTTTTGCCCAGGGTCAGCTTTGAACTGTGATCCTCCTACCTCTGTGTCCCATGTACCTGGGATTGCAGGCATAAACCACCATGCCTGGCTTGTTTTTTGCCTGGAATCTAACTAACTTTTTTGCCTGGGCTGGCCTCAAGCTGCAGTCCTCCCTTTTTCACCTCCCACACAGCTAATATTACAGTCATGGGCAATCACTCTCAGTGTTATTTGGTTTCCTTTCTCTATTACTGAACATGGGAAAATAATTCCATGGAGAATCCTCTGTTCTAAACCTTTCCATTGGGACATCATTATTCTGGCCTTACCTTCTAATCCTATTAAGATTGAGAACAACTCATGAGTTTTGATTGGTTTATTTTTTCTTAGTTAACTGATATATTTAACCCAGATCTCCTAGAAGCAGGGACTTATTTCAGAGGAATGAGACCAAGGGTAGGAATTTCTAGGATCACTTTAGTCAGGTAGAGGAAATGTTTGGCAATCCTGTAGTGCACTTCAAATCTTAATCTGCATAGATTGTTTATGTATTTTCACTCCTCCAGTATATACTTACTAAATATCTATACTGTACTATAGATGGGGACACCTTAATAAAAGAGTCCAATTTTTAAGAACCTTACTTCGGTGGACAGGCAGTCATGCAGTCCAGAGACGTTGACTGTGATAGAGGATGCACATAGTGCCTTGGAGCAGCAGCTCACTAACTCCTGCCCTGGGGGAATAGGACTGTGCTGTCTTAAAGAATTTATAGAGCTAACCCTGCAACCAGGTTAAGATCAGACATTAATTTGGTACTCTACTCATTTATGGCTTCATCCACTAACAGCTAATATTTATTGAAAATTTATTATGTGGCCTGCACTGTTATAAGCCCTTTACATGTATTTATTCATTTTTATTCTCATAGCAACTCTGTAAGGCATGCACAGATGAGGAAACTATAAAATAACTTTCCTAAAATAAAGCAGCTAGTTATTGACAGGATCTGATTCACTTTCATGGTCTTATTTCAGACTCATGCTCCTCAACGCTAAACCACCCTGCTTCTCCGTAGATTGTAATCACTATATTCTTTTGCTTTTCAATAGAACTTAGAGGAAGATGTAACAAATATAACTGTAGAAACTGAGAGCTTTGTAAAATTTGCTATGAACACAGCATTTGCAGCTTTAGTTCCAAGTATTTTGCTCAGACATTTTATACTGTCCCCAGACACCACACTATACTTAGATCAGATCTACCATTTTAATTGAGTTTAAAAGGTTTACTTATAAAGTAGTCAGTTTCTGAAAAACAGTTTGGCTTGGTTTTGGTTTGGAGTTGTTTTATGTTGTTGGTTTTTAATTGCATGGGGGTGGGTGGATGCCAAAACACATCCAAAACATTCTGCTCAACTGTTATCTAGCTCCCCCTTTGGCCACAAAGTTTCTTTTGATTTTTTAGGGTGGTTCCCCCTCTCCTTTAGCCTCCCTTTCCTATCCTTTTATTTGGGATTTGGCAGATTCCAGGTGCTCAGCACTTACCTATAACCCATGTTTGAACACCTTTCTCTGCTTTTGAGCTTGTGAACTCTTTGAAGACAAAGACTAACAAGGGAGTCAGGCAGCTCTTGATTGGTTCCCCTTTGCTTATAGCCCTTCACACACAACTAGATGCTCAATAAGTAATTGTTTATTTCACTTCTTCTTTGGAGTACTTTTTGGCTTATTTTAGTCATTGTTTTGGCTAGGCAGATTTATCTTTCTCATTTTTTTAGTTTTGGACTAAATTGTTTAGCGATTTCTTCTGTGTTTAGTTCAGGATCTTACTGCATAAAAGTTACTGGTAAATTGGTTAAATTACATAAATTAGAAAACATGACTGACCAGAATTCCTCTGTAAATGTTGTTGCAAGCAAATTGTTCACCATATTCTTTAATGGATTGCTTTTTATTGAAAATGACACTTCAAATCAAAGAAGTGGTTTGTTTAAGATTCTCTGTTCCTTAGAAATAACTGATGTTAAAGTATATAATTTTAATGTGTAGTTGTCTCAGTGGATACATGGCTTAGATACTTACTGTATTCAAAATTTTTTTATCTAGATATTTTTTAAAACTTTAAATCTTTTAAAATTTAACTTGCTTTAGGATTTTGTCCTTTAGTGCAAATGTGACATTATTAACTAAGATTAAAATATTTAAATCATTTGAGTATTGACTTATTTCCATTTTATTCTTAGGAACTGAGAGAAAGCTATCATACACAGCAGTTAGCCCTTGAACAACTTCATAAGATCAAACGTGACAAGTTGAAGGAAGTTGAAAGAAAAAGATTAGAGCTAATACAGAAAAAGAAACTAGAAGATGAGGCTGCAAGGTAATAGTAACTATACTTTATTGCTATTAGAATTCTAATTTTAGTGCACATATCTTTAGTTCTATTATTAAAAATTAAGAGGAATAAAATAATTGTCTTAAGATGCTAATCAGATTCTGAATTTTATAAATCCAGTCTTCCTTTTAGGGACCAAGTTTTCAGTAACCAATTTTATGGCCCATTAGTGAAAAATATGGACTTTGAAGTGAGATCTGGATTAGAGTTTTTGGTCTACCATTTGCTACCTGGGTGACCTTGGTTAAGGCTGTTTACCTTTTTTTTTTGGTGGTACTGGGGTTTGAACTCAGGGCCTTCCACTTGCACTTTACCTTTCTGAGCTTCATTTTCTCCATCTGAAAAAAGAAACATTACTGTATATTTCATAGATAATTGTGTTAAATAATAAAATAATGAGGGCTGGGAATGTAGCTCAGTGGTTGTGTGTTTGCCTAGCATGCATGAGGCTTTGGGTTTTATCCCCAGTACCAAAAAAAAAGTAAATAAAATAATGTAGCTGAAGAGTATAACATCTTACACACAATAAGCACTCATTAGTTCTACTCTCTCCAGTGAATCTATTGTTTTCTCCTAAAAAAATCATAAAAAACAAATACTTAAATTTTATAGAAAAAGACCTGGTGTCAGATTGCGTGGTAATGCAGTTCTCTTTATGCCACTAAACTAAATCATTTGACTCCATTTATAGCAAGGAAAACTAAAACAGTTGTGATGTCTGAAGCCTACAACCACTCCTTTAGAGACTTTGTATGATTTTTTTTTTCTGTCAGTAAGATTCTTTTTCATTAGTTCTTCTAAGTTCTTCTAAGTTCTCTAGTGTCAGAAGTTAGTGTAAGTAGTAGTTAACAACAGTGAGCTAATACTCCTTTGCCTGGGTGAAGAGTAGGTGAGTAATTTCTGTGAAAGAGCTAATCGTTACTAGGGAGGCAAGAAGGGCACATTACCACTTAGTTGGCCTCTATTTTTTGTTTTTGTTTTTTGATGGGATTGGAGTTTGAATTTAGGGCTTCACACTTGCAGAGCAGGTGCTCTATCACTTGATCCACACCTCCAGTTCACTTTGCTTTGGTTATTTTGGCAATTGGAGTCTCTCAAAGTGTTTGTCTGGGCTGGCCTCAAACCTCGATCTTTCTGATCTCAGCCTCCCAACTAGCTTGGATTGTAGGCAAGAGCCATGGGTGCCCGACTCTGGCCTTTATTCTTGATGGCTTCAAAACAGCCATTTTCAACACATTTTTATTGAGTAACTCTTATCATCTATGATACAGGTTGAGTCTTGATTATTCCTTCCTCCTGGATTCCTCGTAATTCTTGTAGAGGATGCAGACAACTAAACAACTAGCTTTGTTTACTCTAAGATCCCTACTTTTATGGCCTCTTAACCAGAGATAATAAACTGATACACAAGTAGAAACAATAGAATTCTTCATTTGCCATTTAACTTGTACCACTTAACATTGTACAGGGAAACTGTCCAGTGGTTACACAGCTAGTCACTATATTAGAGTTTTCCATTGATACATGTAGTTGTCTTGATAACTATTCATTTCATTCACAATTCCTTTCAGGCCAACAGATTACATTACTAATACACAATTTAATTTCAGTCATCATCCTTGCACATTATCTGACTATACTGGAGGGAAGAAATCAAAGAGAACAGAAGTGCATGTAGGATCTTAGTAATGCAGAGCTGGGTGTTAGTACTACATCTTGGTTTGCTTGGCCTTTTGCCCAGGTACCTTCTTATCCCAAGCTACCGGTAATAGTCAGGTTTTCACATTGTAGATGTAGCCTCCTTGCCATTTGATCCCTTCTGAGGCATCTTCTGGACCAGTTGGACCAGTTTTGCACCCACTATCTCTTGCCTAAGAATGTTTACCAGAATTTAATGAATTCTGTGGTCTTTTCTTTGTCACACTAAATATGTGATAAATACTCTTATAATGGTATTTATAATTCTATGGAAAATGAAGTAAAGGCCAGTCATCCTAGACTTAGGAGAGTATTAGGGAAAGTTATGGTGATACTGGAAAAGGCGCTGTTAATTGAAATTAGTTGAAAGGACTACAAGAAAAGCATTGTCTTCAAGAGAAACCCAGCTTTCCATCATGCAAAGCTTCTGGAGGAAGCATTTATGATGTGATAGAGGATGTAGCAGGGGCTAGTACCAGGACAAAGAACCAGGAGTATGAAGTATATAATACATTTTTTTTGAATTATCTAGGATTTCCAAATTCTTCAGGAATTCAGTAATAGAGACCTAAAATTAAGCTTTGATTGGGGTATAAATATTCCTTAATGCCAGAAATTTTTCTGGACACAACTTTGCTGTGAGCAAAATACCTGAGGAACAATTTAAAGGAGGAAAGATTTGTTTTGCTTATGGTTTCAGAAGGTTCAGTCCATGGTTACATGGCCCTATCCATTGGGTAGAACAGGAAGCAGTGAGAGGAGACTGGGGACCAGCGTAACTTTCAAAGGCTCCAGTGACTTACTTCCTCCAGCTTGGCTACACCTGCTTCTCAAAATAGCACCAGCAGCTATGGACCAAGTATTCAATACATTTTGTACCCAACTCTTAACAGTGACTTATAGAGTAAAAATGCTTTATTGTCTTAAGCGAATATAAAATATTCTATCACATTTTCAAAGTGATAATATAAAAAGTAAGTACTCTTTCCGGAATCATTTCCTACCTCCACAGCTATGAATTAAGGCTAACAAGTAGTCCTTGTGTAAAGAATCTGGAAGGAAAGAATTTTTAGATTTGTTTGTTTGGTTCCATTTCTGCTTTTTTTGGTGGGGGGGGCGGTTTGGAGATGACTGGCTGGAGGGAATTTGAAATGTGGAAAGTTGTTAGTTATGCTCTTCAGCTCACCCATTATTTCAAGGCTTCCCTTTGATTGACTGACTGAACCCTACTGTTTATCTCCACCATCTCTCTGCTAGTTCTTTAGCTGACAGGAACTGGATCTTCTGTTGTGTTTTTATTTGGTATATAAAAAAATTAGGACATTATTCAACCTCTTTTTCTTTTACTTAAAGGAAAGCTAAACAAGGAAAAGAAAACTTATGGAGAGAAAGTCTTCGAAAAGAGGAAGAAGAAAAACAAAAGCGACTTCAGGAAGAAAAAACACAAGAAAAAATTCAAGAAGAGGAACGAAAAGCCCAGGAGAAACAAAGTAAGGATCAACATAAAAATAGATTTGATTTTTCTGAGCAGAGCCACACAAGCAAAGAGATCTGAAGAAGAAACATAAAAATTCTAATCTTAGAGTAAGAAACAAATCTTTAAAGTTGGAAAAGAAGTGTAGAAGCATATTAAAACAGACTGAGGAGAAAAGAAAATAGGTACCACTGACTAACTGAAAACACCTGGTGTGTTTCTCAAGCCTTTGTATACTGAAAAGTTCTCAGAAGGATTTTTTTTTCCATTTTTCTTTTATTATTCATATGTGCATACAAGGCTTAGTTCATTTCTCCCACCTGCCCCCACCCCCTCCCTTACCACCCACTCTGCCCCCTCCCCCTCCCCCCCAATACCCAGCAGAAACTATTTTGCCCTTATTTCTAATTTTGTTGTAGAGAGAGTATAAGCAATAATAGGAAGGAACAAGGGTTTTTTGCTGGTTGAGATAAGGATAGCTATACAGGGCATTGACTCACATTGATTTCCTGTGCGTGTGTGTTACCTTCTAGGTTAATTCTTTTTGATCTAACCTTTTCTCTAGTACCTGTTCCCCTTTTCCTATTGGCCTCAGTTGCTTTAAGGTATCTGCTTTAGTTTCTCTGCGTTAAGGGCAACAAATGCTAGCTAGTTTTTTAGGTGTCTTACCTATCCTCACCCCTCCCTTGTGTGCTCTTGCTTTTATCATGTGCTCATAGTCCAATCCCCTTGTTGTGTTTGCCCTTGATCTAATGTCCACATATGAGGGAGAACATACGATTTTTGGTTTTTTGAGCCAGGCTAACCTCACTCAGAATGATGTTCTCCAATTCCATCCATTTACCAGCGAATGATAACATTTCGTTCTCTCAGAAGGATTTTTTAACTTATCAAGTCTAGTATATTCATGAACTCTTTTACCTGTAGCCCTTTTTTCAGCCATACCTGTTTATTTGCTGATCTCATTTGTGACTCCCTTTTTCCTCTGTTTTATTCTGACCTTCACAGAACAAACCACATGTCTCTTCCTGCTTAGTCTCCTTCCACTTTGCACAGCTCCATCTGGCTACCACTCCCACACTTTCCCTTGGATCCACGTGCATGCCTCAGCCTGCACGTCATCGCTTAGCTTTACCGTCCCCTGCTTTCCTTGAGATGCACATCCTTCTTTGCTTTACGTTGATATATGACCAGTCAAGGTATTTTAATCCTAACAAGTCTGTATCAGATGGATTTTCATTACTGTTTGATGTTCAGTTTTTTTCTTTTAGATTGTAAGAGCTCTATATTGAGCCATAGCAAAGATGAGTACACACAAAAGTAGCAAATTACAACAATTATGTTCTCTTTAGGTGAGACAGCTAGTGCTTTGATGAATTATAGAGCATTATACCCCTTTGAAGCAAGGAGCCATGATGAGATGAGTTTTAATTCTGGGGATGTAATTCAGGTAAGAAATTTTTTCTTTTTCTTTTCCTTTTTTTTTTTTTTTTGATACAGGGGTTTGAACTCAGGGCTTCACCCTTACTAGGCAGGTGATGGTACTTGAGCCATTCCACTAGCCGTTTTTGTCTTGGGTATTTTTGAGGTAGGCTCTTGAGAACTGTTTCCCTGGACTGGCCTGGAACTGTGAGCCTCCTGATATCTGCCTCCTAATTAGCTAGGATTACAGGTATGAGATACCTATGCCTGGCTTTTTTTGGGGGGGCGGGGGGCAAAGTGGTACTGGGGTTTAAATTCAGAGTTTCCTACTTGGTAGGCAGGCACTCTACCAGTTGAGCCAAGCCCCAGCCCTAAATTTTTTTTCTTAGGAATAAACTGAATATAATACATCATAGTATATTACTTTCTATAATAATGTTGACTGAAACTTTATACCATTATTTATCTTTTAAGATATGTTTTAAACATTACCTCATTTGGCCCTTGCAACATACCACAGGGTTGTGTAGGATGACCATTATTGCTACCATATTCTTGGCAAGGAAGTGAGACTAGTGGCAGAGTACTAGGCAAGTGGTTGACTTTCATTTCCAAGTCCAGTGTTCTTTCCTCATGCCAAATAGCATCACATCATAAAAGTCGTATGATTTTCACATCATGGAAAGGGCATAATGGAACTAGGGACTAGCCAGAGAAGATCCACTAGACTGAAAGGAGAAACTGGCAGCATGGTAAAGAAGTGTAGACCAAAAAGGATAGAAGGCCCTTAATCTAAACCCTGGCTTAGGAGCATAAATTCGATGAAGAAATTCTAAGCTCTTAGAAAGACAGGAAGACTTTGCTAGGTTTAAGATGAATAAAAAGAAGATAATGATGGCAAATGAGCATATAGACACATATTTTTAATGTGGGCTCCAAGAGGATTTATGAAAATTATGAATGGTAGTCACATGCAGCCAGTACAGAAAAGTGTCAGACTGATCAAGTAATATAATCTCTTCTTTTGCTCGGCTCTGGGTGTCTTTGCTAGCAATAAAATGTTAGAGTAGACGTAATACAGGCCTAATGACTTGGGCTAACTATAGTAAATGGCACTGAACAAAGTAGAGGGAGAGATCTTTTCCTATTTAGCCCTCCTTTAAAAAAGTAAATCAAATAACCAAATAAAAACATATACTTAGTGTGAAGTTTTTTGAAAAAGAAATAAGATATAGAAAGATTTAACACATCTTTGTAAATAAATACCTAGAAACTAACTTTTAAAATAAATAAATTTTAACAATTAACAATAAAAATTTGAAGGGCTGGTTAGTTTCTGGCAGCTGTTAAAAGGGTTGAAGGAGTTAGGGTCTACAGCCATAGTGGATATAGGCCATTTGTTGAGTACAGGCTTTAGAAGCCACAAACTAGATGTTAGTCTCTGTGTGATATGTGAATTGTATGTATCTCAGTAAGCCATTGTTAAAAACAAAAAAAGCTAAACATGCACCTACCACATGCTCAATCCAGTACTCTTCAGGTATTTATCCAAGAGAACTGAAACTATGTCCATCTGAAGACAAATGCTCATAGCAGCTTTATTTGTAATAGCTAAAAACTGGAAACAACTTAGATGTCCATCAGTAGGTGACAGAATGAACAAATTATAGTATGTCCAAACAATGAAGTTACTCAGCAGTAAAAAGGAATGAATTATCTATACTTACTACAATATGAATGTATCTCAAAAATAATTATGTTGGAAGAAGGCAGGCAGAAATTATACATATTATGTAATTTTTTCATATAAAATTCTAGCAAATGCAAACTAATCAATGTGACATAAAAGAGGCCATTGTCTTCCTAGAGATACGGTGAGGGAGAGCTTTCATTGGAACAAGAGGAAACTTTGGGTGGGTATATGATGATATGTTCATTATCTTGATCATAGTGATTTTCACAGGTTTTATAAATATATCAAAACATCAGATTTAATACCTTAAATGTAAAATTTATGTTAATTATATCTCAAAAAGTTGTTCTTAAAAATCTTAATGGGGCTGGGCACCAGTGGCTCATGCCTATAATCCTAGCTACTCAGGAGGCAGAGCTCAGGAGGATCGTGGTTCAGAGCCAGCCTGGGGAAATAGTTCCTCAAGACCCTATCTCAAAAAAAACCCATCACAAAAATGGGGTTGGTGGAGTGGCTCCAGGTATAGGTCCTGAGTTCAAACCCCAGTACTGCAAAAAACAAACAAACAAACTTAATGGATTCTATATGATATACCACTGTCAGATCTGTTTTAGGAAGTATGGAAAGTAGAGTAGGAGACACAGTTGATTTATTCACTGATTCATTAAAGTAAAGAGATATGTACTATGTTAAACGGAGTCAATAAAATGACTCCAGACAAGTGGAAGAGATGTACATAAGTTATATAATATATAATGATGATCAATGGATGATCATGACAGTATATATGAGATATCTCTGGCCTGAGTTGGCAGCTGACAGAATCTTAAAGGTGAGTAAAGATTTCGGTTATCTAGCCAGGTGCCAGTGGCTCACATCTATAAATCCTAGCTCTCAAGTGGCAGTAATCAGGAGGATTGCAGTTTGAAGCCAGGCCAGGCAAATAGTTTCACCTGACCCTATCTCAAAAAAAACCCATCTCAAAAAAAGGGCTGTCAGAGTGGCTCAAGGTGTAGGCCCTGAGTTCAAACCCCAGTGCTACAAAAAAAAAAATTACAGTAATCTTAGGTATGAAATGAAAAAGCCTGCAGTAGGCTAGTGAGGTGAGGATAGGGTTGAAAAAAAATTAAGAGCTGTTTTTAGTAACAAAGTCAACAGTTTGCTATATGAGAATAATAGAGGTAAGAACCAAATTTTTTTATTTAGAATGATTAAGCTTTGATGGTAAGAATAATAGAAATATAGAGAATTTAGGAGAAGAATTTGGATGTCTTAGACTTGAGTTGAAAGTGAAGATACCTTGCAAGGAGTTGCCAGTTTTCGATTATTCCTTTGGGAAGAAGTCTGTTCTGAGAATCAGGCTTTAGGATTCATGATTACATAGAGAGTGATCAAATTATAGGAGCAAGTGAGCCTATTCAGAAGTGTACATAGCATGCAGTAAGAAAGCCAACACTGAGCTTCCTGGATAGGATCCAGGAAGAAGAGCAAGAGATACTATGAGGTTGGAGACCTTCATACTGCAAGAGGGCCATATTTAGGAGAAGAAATGAAATGGATAAATCACCTGATATGCCTTACCAGTTGAAAATAGTATTCAGAGGTTTTTTAGTTCTGTTAAGGTGTTTAAGAGGATTCTGTAGTAGGAACAGAGAAAACTAAGCAAAAAACCAAAGTAATGATTAACTATAGAAAAACCAAAACTTCAAGAAAGCAAATCTTATCAGAATATTTCATAACTCAGCTGTGAAATATTTACATAGTCATAATAATCTAAACGTCAAATATTATTTAACCAAAAAATTATGATAGCAATATTTATAAACTAAGAGTGTTTTATTTTCCATAACCAAAAGCCAGTAGATAATATCTAAAACTGAAAAAAATCCAAGAAGTTACACATAAATGTATTGTTTAGAGTATTAAAGATAACACAGAAGGAACTGCTAGTAATGGCAAGTTACCATTAGGCATGGAAATTGGGTGCAAGAAACTATGGAGTAGGAGAAGATTATTTTCCATCATAAGCTGTGTTTAAGGCTGGTTTTCTTTGTAAATTGTTTCCATATATTAATGGGTACAATTTTAAATTTAAAAAGATAATTTGTTAATCACTAAGAAAAGTAACCTGAGAATTTGTAGGCAATTCCTTATCTATTTAAATGGGCTTAATTCTGAAAATGAGACCTACTATACAGTAGTCTGCATCTCTTTCCATTATGAATGTATGGATTTCTAAGCACTGTTATTCTTTTTTTTCCCGTAGGTTGATGAAAAAACTGTAGGAGAACCTGGCTGGCTTTATGGTAGTTTTCAAGGAAATTTTGGCTGGTTTCCATGCAACTATGTAGAAAAAATGCCATCAAATGAAAAAGTTATGTCTCCTAAGAAGGCCTTACTTCCTCCTACAGTATCTTTGTCTTCTACCTCAACTTCTTCTGAGTAAGTTTTTAGCTAACCATGGACTTTCTGTGGTTCTGCCACTGTGTAAATTACTTCATCATATTAGTAATCCAAGCTAGACTCTCCCCAGAGCCCTGTTTGTTCCACATTTAATACTGAAATTTAATAAATGAAGACATAGGTCAGCAGTTTATCCATGAATCATTTTTTTCCACAAATTGTATTTAAACATAGGGTACATAATATGAAAATGGGTAAATTGGTAGTACCTCATTAGGTCCTAAATAATTAGTATACTTACATTAAAATGTTATATTTGCAGACCACTTTCTTCAAATCAACCAGCATCAGTGACTGATTATCAGAATGTATCTTTCTCAAACCTAACTGTTAATACATCATGGCAGAAGAAATCAGCTTTTACTCGCACTGTGTCCCCTGGGTCCATATCACCTATTCATGGACAGGTAGGTTGTCTGTAATTTTTGTGTTCTTTATTCTTTGAGTTTGTTCCTGATTCATTTGAAATAGAATGAATATTTACAGGAGGGTAAGCAGAGGAAGGCCAAGCATAACCACATCTCTATTCCTAGTGGAGTAAACTGAATCAGCTATAGTTTGTCGGCTTTGGAAGGCAGAAAAGAGAAATTTGCAGTGACTTTTTCCGTTTTCATTTTTTGCATGAGATACATTTAGTGGATTTGTTGATACTTCCTCGAGTATTAACTGCTTACATTCTGTACCAGTGCTGATGTTTCCTTGAATGGTAGGTGTTAGAAGGCTACTCACTCTTAAGTCAGTCAGTAGATGAAGTTTAAGTCACCACCACACCAAACTGGTCTACTGTTTGAACAGTAAGTATGTTATATACTAGGAAACAGCAATCATTATTACCATGGTCTGTTTTTAAATTTTGGTGGCTTTGTATTCACAGGGACAGGTTGTAGAACCTGAAAGCACAGGCCCTTTGTTCCTGGACTGCAAAGAAAGATAACCACTTGAACTTCTCAAAACATGACATTATTACTGTCTTGGAGCAACAAGAAAATTGGTGGTTTGGGGAGGTGCATGGAGGAAGAGGATGGTTTCCAAAATCTTACGTCAAGATCATTCCTGGGAGTGAAGTAAAGCGGGAAGAGTAAGCATCTCTATGTGTTTATGTGAAAATGTTGATGTTTTACACTATTAAATAATCAAAGTATGACTGTGCAATTAAAGAAAAACTTACGCAGAGTTTGAATATCAGAAGGGTGATTCCTAACATGAAAAAAACATACTTTAGATGTTTCTTTCAGTTCTTAAAATATCTTTCATTGTAGTCACTTCAGATTCATAAAGTTTTCAAAATACTATACTTAAAAATTTTAGATCTTTTGCTTTCTCTGTATTACAAGGTCAGTTTTAAAAAGTTATATTTTTGAAATAGGGTCTCATTAAGTTTACCCAGGCTGGCCTTGAATTGGTGATCCTCCTGCTTCTGTCTCCCTAATAACTAAGGTTACAGGCCTATATGTCTATGCCTGGCTTTGCTATTTAATTATTTACTGCAGTCCTCCTTTTTACCAGATGGGGCATTCCTATGTCTGGGTCTCTAGGGTTCCTCGGCATAATCTGTCTATTTCTCAGAGCATATGGCATTATAGTTACTGTTTTGTTTTTTTTTTAACCCATGTTACTTATTAAGTCATAAGCTCCATGAGGATGGTACCCATGTCTTTTTTTTTTTAAGCTTTTTCATGCCTAGAATAATCTTTTTTTGTGTGTGTATGGTACTAGGGTTTGAGCTCAAGGCTTCACACTTGCAAAACAGGTGCTATATCACTTGAACCATTCCTTCCATCCATTTTTGCTCTGGTTATTTGGAGATGGAGTCTTGCAAACTATTTGCCCAGGTTGGCTTTAAACCTTGATTCTCCCTATCTCAGCCTCCCAGGTAGCTAGGATTATAGGTGTGGGCCACCAACACCTGGCTTATGTCTACAAGAATTTTAAAGTATCTTAATGCTGAGTCATATTATGTCAGTGAATGAGGGAAGGAGTGAATAAATGCGCTTTCAAGTGAATAAAAACCCAAAACTCTGCAGGTTAAGATTTCTGGCCTTTATTTCCCAGTTTGTAGGGGAGTAAAGTTGCCAAATGTGTTTTAATACAAAGAAATAAGTACTATAATATGGCTACTGGTAATTTTCTCTTGTGTTTTACATGGAAGTTGACCTAAATAGAAAAACAATTTAAAAATACAAAAATAGCTGGGCACTATTGTTTGGTGATACTAGGAGTTGAACCCAGGACCTCACCAATCAATCAATAAAAAATAAAATAGAAAAGCAATCTAGCATAATGAAAAGGTGCTGCTCTTGGAAATCAAAAGCTTGAGTCTTAGTTCTGCTATTTTTACCAGACTATAAGAAGCAACCTGTTTTGGTCTTCAGTTTTGTAATCAATTGAATGGAAAAAAAAAATCAAATAATATCTAAGAACCTTTTCAGTGCTGAGTTTCCATTTATAAATATTTAGTTCAAATACAAAAATTTACTTTTCAGACTGACATGCAATTTTGGAAATAATAAACTGTCATAACAATATGTAGCTGACATCTGTGTGTTAGGCCCTTTAAAGAAGTTATTTAATATCCATAACATTTTATAGAGAAGAAAAAAAAGATTAAGTTTAAGTGTTTCAGAGGGTATTTTTTTATCTTTCCATTTAGTTACTTATCCTAATAAGTAAGTCATGTGCTTTGTGTATAACAGCCAGGCATGGTGACACATACCTGTGATCTCAGCTACTTAGGCACTGACATGAAGACCAGCCTGGGCAGTATAGTAAGACCTCATCTCAAGAAAGAAAGAAGCCAGGTGCTACTGGCTTATGCCTATAATCCTAGCTACTAGAGAGGCTGAGATCAGGAGGATTGTGGTTCAAGGCCAGCCTGGGCAAATGGTTCATGAGACCCCACCCATCTCCAAAATAACCAGAACAAAAATGGACTGGAGGAGTAGGTCAAGTGGTAGAGTGCCTGCTTTGCGAGCACAAAGCCCCAAGTTCAAACCCCAGTCGCACAAAAAAAAAAAAAAAAAGGAAAGAAAGAAAAAGAAATCCCACAAACAATAAAAGGGAAAGCCTATAGTAATGGGAGAGTCCAGCACTAAACAAGGCAGTCCCTTTCAGCCATAGCCGTGAGTTTCAGTAAGGTTCCCTTTCTGTGGACTTGCAAGTAGCCTCAGTAAAATAATTTACTCATGGGTCCTGGGGAGCCCTGCTGCATCCCACAGGTGACTGGCTCTTAAACCTGACAGTCTCTCAGATTTTTGAAGGTAAGTGAACATGAATGAATGTGGAAATTAACATTCTGATATATAGAAAGAAAGTTTTATGTTTTAAAGTGTAATTTGCTTTAAATAAATGATAAAATTCACATATTGTCCTTGTTTCCCAAGGCCTATATGTGTTATCAAAAGATTGCCTATTTCCTAATGTTCAGATGCATTTTAAGTTCTTTAAAGAAGACAAAATATCTCACATTTGAAAAATTATAAGTCACATTGAAATTACTATATTTTAAAATGTAGCAGTTTATAATAGGAAGTTCTAAATCCAGAAGGATTTTGTATATGCATATTCGTATTTAGATTAATTTGAGAAAACCCTAAAAGAATACACTGGTAAAATGTACTAAATTTGTCAAATCGCTTTTGGAATTTTGCCTGATTTTTGTCTTTTTAGATTTCTTTTGTTGTTACGTTTTATTTGTGTGTTTATTTGGCAGACCAGAAGCTTTGTATGCAGCTGTAAATAAGAAACCTACCTCTGCAGCCTATCCAGTTGGAGAAGGTAAGCTTTTGGCAATTTGTAAATTAGTGAGATTCAGTTTAGTTACTAATTATTTGACTTCACCTAGTTGTTATTCTCCCTGTTTCTGTGTCTTCAGGGTTTGTGAGTTTGGGAAAACCTGTCACTATTTCACACCAAGGTTGAGGATACAGAAAAAATATGACTCAAAGTATTTGGCACTTTTAGAAAGTCAGTGCTATAAAAATTCAGCTAATTAAGATTATAATTAAAAAGTGTTGCAATAACTGGTTATACATATTTAGGAGGAATAGAAATTTCAGTATATTTAGTTTATAAATTATATTTTAATTATAGTGGGCCATATAAATTATTAAGTAGGATTCGAAATCAAGGTACTCTTTAGTATAAACACTGCAAAGAATTGAGGCTGGGTGTGGTGGTTCAAGCCAATAATCCTAGCTACTTGGGAAGGGGAGATTGGGAGGATCATATGGTTCAAAGCCAGCCTGGAAAAAATCATGAGCCCCCTTCTCAACCAATGACTAGACACAGTGGCATGTGCCTGTCATCTCTGTTGCACAGAGAAGCACAAATAGGATTGCAGTCCAGGCTAGCCCAGGCATAAAGAGAAACCCTACCTTGAAAATAGCCAATGCAAAAGAGTGTATGAAAACAATTCCATTTACAGTAGCCTCAAAAAAAATCAAATACCTAGGTGTAAACCTAACAAAAGGTGTGAATGACCTCTACAAGGAAAACTAAACTTCTGAAGAAAGAGATTGAGGAAAGAACTATAAAAAGTGGAGAGATCTCCCATGTTCATGGATTGGTAGAATCAACATGTAAAATGTCTATACTCCCAAAAGATCTACATTGTTTAATGCAATATCCCATCAAAATCCAATGAGATTCATTAAAAGAGATTGAAAAATCTAAACTGTAATTTATATGAAACACCAGAGGCCACGTATAGCCAAGGCAATACCAGCTCAAAAGAACAATGCTGGAGGTAGCACGAATACCTGACTTAAAAACTATATTACAAAGAATAAACGTTAAAAACAGATGGTATGGCACAAAAACAGACCATGAAGACCAGTGGAACAGAATAGAGACCCAGATATGAAGCCACACACTATACCACTTGTCTTTGACAAAGGAGCTAAAAATATACGATGGAGAAATAGCAGCCTCTCAACAAAAACTGCTGGAAAACTGGTTAACAGTCTGCAAAAAAACTTGAAACTGATATGTCATACCCTATACCAATATTAACTCAAAATGGATCAAGATCTTAATATCAGCCACAAACTCTATAGTTGATACAGGAAAGAGTAGGAAACTACTCTGGATTAGTAGGTATAGGTAAGAACTTTCCAACGGAAACCCAGCCAACAGCAACTAAGAGATAGCATAGATAAATGGGACTTCATAAAACTAAAAAGCTTCTGTTCATCAAAAGAAATGGTCTCTAAACTGAAGAGAACACCCACAGAGTGGGAGAAAATATTTGCCAGCTACACATCAGACAAAGGACTGATAACCAGAATATATAGGAACTTAAAAAACTAAATTCTCCCAAAATTAAATGAACCAATAAAGAAATGGCAAGTGAACTAAACAGAACTTTCTCAAAAGAAGAAATTCAAAATGGCCAAAAAACATGAAAAAATGCTACCATCTCTAGTAATAAAGGAAATGCAAATTAAAACCACACTAAGATTTCACCTCACCCCTGTTAGAATAGCCATCATTAGCAACACCACCAACAACAGGTGTTGGCGAGGATTGGGAAAAAGGAACCTCTTACACTGTTGGTGGAATGTAAACTGTACAACCACTCTGGAAAAAATTTGGAGGCTACTTAAAAAGCTAAACATTGATCTAATTGATCCAGCAATACCACTCTTGGGGATATACCCAAAAGACTGTGACACAGGTTACTCCAGAGGCACCTGCACACCCATGTTTATTGCAGCACTATTCACAATAGCCAAGTTAGGAAACAGCAAGGATGTCCCACACTGACGAATGATTAAGAAAATGTGATCTTACACAATGGAATTTATGCAGCCATGAAGAAGAACAAAATGTTATCATTCTGGTAAATGGATGGAATTGGAGAACATCATTCTGAGTGAGGTTTAGCCTGGCCCAAAAGACCAAAAATCGTATGTTCTCCCTCATATGTGGACATTAGATCAAGGCAAAACACAACAAGGGGATTGGACTTTGAGCACATGATAAAGCGAGAGCACACAACGGAGGTATGAGGATAGGTAAGACACCTAAAAAATAGCTAGCATTTGTTGCCCTTAACACAGAGAAACTAAAGCAGATACCTTAAAAGCAACTGAGGCCAATAGGAGAAGGGGACCAGGAACTAGAGAAAAGTTAGATCAAAAAGAATTAACCTAGAAGATAACACACACGCACAGGAAATTAATGTGAGTCAACTCCCTGTATAGCTATCCTTATCTCAACCAGCAAAAACCCTTGTTCCTTCCTATTATTGCTTATACTCTCTGTACAACAAAATTAGAGATAAGGGCAAAATAGTTTCTGCTGGGTATTGAGGGGGTGGGGGGGAGAGGGAGGGGGCAGAGTGGGTGGTAAGGGAGGGGGTGGGGGCAGGGGGGAGAAATGACCCAAGCCTTGTATGCACATATGAATAATAAAACAATAAAAAAAAGAAAGAAAGAAAATAGCCAATGCAAAAGGATCTGGTGGAATGGCTCACGTGATAGAGCACCTACCTAGCAAGTGGGAAACTGAGTTCAGTCCCCAGTACTGCAAAAAAAAAGTAAAGAATTATTGTGGTTTTTTTCCTACAGCCTGTTGGGTTTTTTGGTTATTAAAATATTTTATTTTGTTAATGTGAGAAAAAAATGAAAGATTATCCTAAATTCATAGAATATTTTTATTCAATAGTTACATAGATTTATAAATGAGACATATGTCCATTGTAAAGTTAATTGAGTAGTGTATATTTTATGTTTTTCTCAAAAAATCAGCTTAATGGTAAACTGAACAGTTTATTCAGTATCTGCTATTTTGAGGATTCTATGTTAGAGCCTGAAAGATGCAAGAATAAATAAAACATAGTCTCCTAATTGTTCACAGTAGAATAGAGAGGGTTAAGTCTACAATTAAGATAAATTCTACAAGTAAACAAAAAACAAAAAAGACTTAATTTTGAGTAAAACCTGTGAAGTGTCAGGTGTAGCAATGTTGCATTATCTTTAACAATGAGGCAGATCTTGTGTTGTGACAAAGGAAGAGAAAGGAGTTCTGGACAGAGGAAAAGGAGTGAGCCAAGTCACAGCCATGAATTTAAGAAACTTGAGGTCATCAGTAAGGCACCATAGGCATATGTGAAATGCTAGTTGTAAAATGGGTCAAGGAAAGCAGCAAAGGTACATTTTGGAAATGACCTTACTTATTGCAATTTGTCTAAACCTTGTACTTCCTTTTAGATGTGTTAAATCAGCTAGGTTGAGTAATACTCGAGGTATGAATAGTAAACAGTTTGTAGATAGTGTTTCTCATCATCTCTTGACTTATGTAAAAGACCAGATTTACATGTTGGCAAATATAAATAAAAGTAGAAAAGAAAAAAAAAATGACTTCTAAAACCCAGTCACTGTTCCTTCAAAGCAGAAGTAATCACAGGAACAAAAAACAAAGCCAATATAAAATCTTAGGCATATCTCTTGAAGTCATTCATTGACAGATGTGTTTTGAACATCTCCTTGGAGCCCAGCACTATGCTAGGGGCTGGGTCGTTGTGGTGGAACTGAACTCCTCTTGTGCTATCTGCTGGATACTGAATGTTTCTGTATATAGAGAAGAAGTAAAGAGCAAAGAGTCTAGCAGATTAAAATGTATTTCCAATAAAAGGTTAAAATTAAGAAAAATATATTGTGACTCCATTATCTACCTGTTAATTTCATTAAGCCTCAGTTTTGTTATCTATAAAGTAGAGATACTGATATTGCTTGTAGTTTGGAGTAATTCTTTGTGGTTAAAAAATTGGTAACAAAGCAATTCGAAAAAAAAAGAAACTCTATAATAAAGCGTTGTTAAGTAGCCCTTTTCTAAGTAATTATTAAGTAATTGCTTCCATTCCTTTTGCTACCTTCAGATCTTTCTGTATTTTATTGTTTTCTTCAGCTACCCTGCCAGCTGTAGTGGGTATTGTTTTCTTAAGGCACAACAAGGTCTTTTATAATAAACTTAGAGAACATCTTAGAGATTAACTTAACTTGCTTTTACATCTGTAATCTTATAATCAAAATGTACTTCTTTTTGCTTGGTTCCCTACAGAATATATTGCACTTTATTCATATTCGAGTGTAGAGCCAGGAGATTTGACTTTTACTGAAGGTGAAGAAATATTGGTGACCCAGAAAGATGGAGAGTGGTGGACAGGAAGTATTGGCGATAGAACTGGAATTTTTCCATCAAATTATGTAAAACCAAAAGATCAAGAGGTAGAGTTATTATGGTATTAAAACAAAATCATTCTGTTGTTGTTGATCAATATTCATACTTAAAACAGAAATTATAGGGCTGGAGGAGTGGCTCAAGCAGTAGAGCACCTGCCTAGCAAGCATGAGGCTCTGAGTTCAATCCCCAGTACCGCCACAAAAACAAAACAAAACAAAACAAAAAAACAGAAATTATATATATGGTTTTAATCAAGCTGTTTTCATTACAAGGAAACCACTGAAAGTAGCTCCAGTAGTAGAGTTTTATTACAGAGCTCCAATGAGAGAGATAAGGAGGACAGGATTTCCTAAAATGCTAAGAACAAGAGTCTTAAGTAGGGCTGAACCTCTTAAGAACTGAAACTAAGGACTGGTTCTAGATTCAGCAAAGCTTACAGAGACCACTTTTATGGAGTCTGTGTTAAGGCTCTACGTACACTCTGAAGTTCCTCCTTCTTTTCATTCTGCCACTAATCTGGTGTAGTGCAGAAGTTCTCAAGCTTTGTTCATTTTAAAAAATTATTTGAGACTCCCCCAAAAGTTTTCCTTTTTATAAATATAGGGGTTATATATAGTGGTATTTATTACATTAGAAACTAAAACTGAAAATAACTTAAATGTTTATTAATTCATTAAAAATAATTATTAAATCCATACATGGTAGCATAAAGAACTTTTTATGGAAAAGAACTATATTTTTCAAGAAAAAATTTAGTGAGAAAAGTGGCTTAAGTCTATATTTCAAATATCTTCACTGTCTGGCTTAATTGAAAACAGATTCCCATGTCTGTCTCTATATTTAGTCTATTGTAGTATGTTCTTTCAGTTAAAGTGTCTGAAGAAAATTCTGCCTTATTCAGATATGGGGGGATAAAGAAGTATTTTCACTTTGCTGATGTCTGTGGACATTCTTTGATTCTACTACACTAAAACTTGAATGGTAAACACCATTACAGGGTGTTTACAGCATGAAATCTGAAGCCTTGTTAGTGAATATTGCTTACTGTTACATTAAAATTTACTAATCTGCTTTGCATATTGAATTGATCTTTAATTTATGCACAATATTATAATATCACTCAGTGGTCACTTAGAAAATATTGATCATTGAGTTAATTCAGATGTTCTCTGTATTGACACATTTCATTATACATTTTTTTATTACATTTATTGGAGTAGAGGCGTGGCTCAAGTGGTAGAGCACCTGCTTTGCAAGAGCAAAGCCCTGAATTCAAACCCCAGTCTCACCAAAGAAACAAAACAAAACAAAATATTTGAAAAAATTGCATTTGTTAGTATCACCACTAATCAGAAAAGTCTGTGGAACGTCATCCTCATAGTGGTAGATTCAAATTTCCAAAATTTAAATTTTCCCTTGAAGTTTAAATTTTATCATTGGCAACAGATCCTGTCAGCTGTTATTGTGAGGTGACAGGCATATTTCATTAATTTTTCAGAAAATATTTGCTAAACATTAAGTCTAAATAGTTGTCTGTCAGTTCTTTGACATAAACATTGTTTCGTGAAAACATAATTTAGTTCACAGTTTAATCACAAAAAATCCTTTTCTTTGAGACAACCATCATACTTTGGTATGCAACAGCAATGTTATAGGTACACTTCTGTTCAGTCACACAGAATTTTTTTAAAAGATATGTATTCAAGAATTGAGATTTAAGCCAGGTACCAGTGGCTCACACCTGTAATCCTAGCTACTCAAGAGTTAGAGATCAGGAGGATCAAAGTTTGAAGCCAGCCCAGGCAAATAATTCATAAGACCCTATCTCGAAAAAACCCAGCACAAAAAAAACAGGGCTAGTGGAGTGGCTCAAGATGTAGGTCCTGAGTTCAAACACCAGTACTGCAAAAAAGCAAAAGAGTTAAGAATTGATCAAATACAATTTCTGTATTTGATCAAGGACATTCTTAAGTGACACTGGCTTTGTTTTACTATGACTAGTAGTGTCATTTGGTGCTGCTGCCATGATTCATGCTAAAATAAAGGCACCTTCACTTTTACCTTTGTCAACACTGAAAGGCCAAGCAGTGTCTTAGTATTACTATGAAAATCTTTTTCATCACACAGGTACCCTAGGACTACTTCCAGAATCTATAAACCATACATTGAGAACCATTAGTGTAGTGGAATCAAAATACCTCCACCATCTGGAGGCTAGGTAACTTGGACAAGTTACTCACTTCTCTGTGCCTCAGTTTCCTTCTCTGTAAAATGGGGATGATCCTTAGTAGTGTTATTGTGAAAACTAGCTGAATATATGTAACCTTGTAGAGCAGTTCCTGTTACATAGTACTTGAAATTTTGGTTTTTGACTACCATCAACTCTGCTTAATACTTTCACTGGCTATGTATATACTAACAGGAAAAAAATTCTTTTTAACGCCTTCCCTTTTTTGTTCAAATTTCTAAGAATAGGATATATGATTGGTCCAATTTATTCTTTAAAGTCAAACAGAAGTCGTAATTGCTACTCATGGTATGAATTTTTTTATTCTTAATTCAGGTTCAGTCAGTGGAAATGTGGTTTAAAAAAAATTTTTTTTTAATTGCCTCCTACTCAGCAGAAGCTATAGATTACTCAGAGTCCCTTAACATATCCAGGACACATATGAGGTACAAAGTGAGTGTTAACGCCAATCCCATTGATGAATGGGTACATTTGACACAGATATTCATGTTTAATATTGAGGAAAGATTCAGAAAATGAGCTCTCTCTGTTAAGTGAGTGGATGACAGCATCAGCCACTTGTATCTCATCAGCAGACTAAATCATTTTATAAGTATTGGATTCTTCACTTATTTGGTTCATTGTCATTTTTATCATCATTTAAAGAAACAAGAATCCTGGGGATTAGAATTCTTTAATTCCTAGTAAGCTTTGTGCTTTTATTATGGATTGTTAGAAATTATTAAAAACAGTGTATCTTTTCCTTGTAGAATTTTGGGAATGCTACCAAATCTGGAACATCGAGCAAAAAACCTGGTATGTATAATAGTGACCTTGACAAATTACTAAAGTATTTGTTCTGTCATAGTCTTGAATTCATAGTTTTGTTTTTCTTTTCAGAGATTGCTCAAGTAACTTCAGCATATGTTGCTTCGGGTGCTGAACAACTTAGCCTTGCACCAGGACAGTTAATACTGATACTAAAGAAAAATACAAGTGGATGGTGGCAAGGGGAATTACAGGTAATATTCTTTTCCAGGCAATAGTGCATGGCCATAAAAAAATAAGATCAATAAAAATTTTAAATCACCCTTAATCATACCAGTTACGAGGTAATCAATGTCAACATTTTATTGTATTGTTTCCCTTTAACCTTTTGCCTATACATTTTTAGCATGGTGGAGTTGATAATATAACAATTTAAAGAGTAATTTTCTGTAAAGTCATAAGTGTTTTCCAGTAATGCATCCCTGAGGAAACCATGGGTCATCTTCTTAAAAGAAAGCATAGCAGCATCTTTGCCAGGAGCCACCCCAAGTTGGGATGCTTTCTAGAAGAACTGATCCAGTGTGTATTGAGAAAATACTGCCCATTAGACTGTCCCTAGTGGTCTTACGTTTTTGAATACAGCAGTGTAAGGAAACAGTACAGACATAGATGAGCCTAGTTTTTTTCCTAAAATGTAACATATGGTTGTTGCATATATTTTGTTAGACAAGGAGCATTCTTCTCTCACTTCTAAAATTTCCTTACTAGTTAAAACTAAAAAGCATGTTAGAATTAAAAGATGGTGAAAGGAATATAGGATTGATAGATGATGACAATACAAAAGATAAACATAGCTTCATTCTTACAAGTTGGAGTCAAAGGATTCCTAAAGAACAGATGAGATTTAAATTCAGTGTATTCTTAAATAACTCTCTGAGTTGCCACCTTCTGATTTACTTTGGAATCAACAAGGTGGAAAACATGGCTCTTCACAAATTTTATTCATGACATTCTGATTTTGAGGTGGGGAGGATGGGACTGGGGTTTGAACTCAGCTTCGCAATTGCAAAACGGGTGCTCTACTGCTTGAGTCACACCTCCATCTTGCTCCAGTTACTTTGGAGATTGGGTCTTGCAAACTATTTGCTTAGACTGGCCTCAGTCTCAGCTTCCCAAGTAGCTGATTAATTATGAACAGTACTCCAAGAGATGTTTGTAGTGACTGTACTATTTTAAGGGTTGATTTGAATTTATTAGGAGACTTCTGAAAGATCTTTTTAGATTATAAATATTTGTGTGGAATATTCAGACACACAGACCTAAAAGGCCTCTAGATAGAGTTGTGCCAATGGCATTTGCAGCAGCAAGTTGAGATTTATAGTGTAGTGGTTCTTCCAATTGTTTAATGTTGGCCTAAAAGGCCAGTGCTGAGTTCAGGAGTCCTCATGACCAATTGAAACCAATTACAAGTTTGATGATCCTGAAGACTACTCTCAAATTTGATGATCCACTAGAAGGACACATGGAACTTACTGAAAACTGTGACACTCACAGTTTTATTTCCACAAAAGGACACAGATTGCCAGGTTCAGTTTACTCACACCTGTATTCCTAAGTACTTGGGAGACTGAGATCGGGAGAATTGCGATTTGAGGCCAGCCCAGGCAAACAGTTTGCAAGAATCACCAAAATAACCAGAACAAAATGGACTGGAGGCGTGGCTCAAGTGGTAGAGTGCCTGCTTTGCAGGAGTGAACTCCTGAGTTCAAGCCACAGTCCCATCAAAAAAAAAAGGACACAGATTAAAATCAGGCAAGTTAAGAGACTCATGGACAGAGTAGAGTATAGGAGGGTTTCAAAGAGAGAACTTATGGTTGTTCTTTCCCGGTGGAGTCATGGACTGCATTAACTCTTCCTGGCATTAATTTGTGACAATACACTGAGAATATTGCCAACCAGGGAAGCTTGCTTGGAGCTTTGGTGTCCAGAGTTTTTATTGGGGCTCCATCATATACATGTATGTATGTTTGTATGTATATCCATATATATATATATATATGGTCAATTGTTCATCTGGCTGTACCCAGTCTCCACCCCCATCAGAGATTAGCTGATCCTGCGTGATTTAGAGCAACCACTATAAATTAAATCACATTGTTAGGTTTAGAATAGCCCAAGCTCCCCAGTTGAGCTAAGACACAGGATATTCTAAGGATTTAGAGATTATATTCCAGTATCCAAGGGCAAAAGTAAGCCTGGTTTGGGCAAGATTAAATCCTCAAAAATTTTAAGTTATATATCAATGATTTGTTTGTTTGTTTTTGTTTTACAGTATTGGGGTTTGAACTCAGGGTCTTTATGCTTGTTAGGTGGGTGCTCTACCGCTGGAGTCATGCTCCCAGCCTTGTTGGACCACAATTCTCCTATTTACACTTCCTTCATTGCTGGGATGACAGGCACTTGTCACCACACCCAACTTTTTATTGGTTGAAATGGGATCAATAACTGTTTGCGCAGGCTGGCTTCAAACATCGATCATCCTGATACTCGCCTCCCAAGTAGCTAGGGTTACAGGTCTGAGCCACTGTGCATAGCTTTCAATGATTATTCTTAATCTCATCTTTTAACTATATATTCCTTTTGCTCATTTTATAGGCCAGAGGAAAAAAACGACAGAAGGGATGGTTTCCTGCCAGCCATGTTAAACTTCTGGGTCCAAGTGGTGAAAGAACCACACCTGCCTTTCATGCAGGTATGAAAGTGGGTTAACTTGTATTTCATCTTAAAGAACTTTGTTGAAATGCAGCAACTTCTTAGATTAGCTAACTCTTAGAAAGGTATGAAAAATATGTCCTTTTTCCCTGTGCTTAAAAGTAATATGCCACCAAGAACTTCCTTTGCATAAAATTGTTGTCAGAGCAGCCAGCTCATCACTGATCCTTGAACCACTTTACTCCTTGAATTCTTTCAATGTGGAATTGTTCTACCATTGTACTTAAAGTGAAGCAGTTCACTTGGATTTTTAACTAGAGTTGATTAGTTCTTGTTTTTGTAAGACAATGGGAAAAGGAAGATGAAAGAAAGCAGCTCAAAGAAAATTTTAGCCTAATTTTAATACTTAATAATAGTAATTTAAGTCCTAGGAATAGTGCTGCTCCTTGTAGGAACAATTAATTTGCTTAATGTGTTATTTTGCTCTTCTTTTGATAGTGTGTCAGGTGATTGCTATGTATGACTATGTAGCCAATAATGAAGATGAGCTCAATTTCTCCAAGGGACAACTTATTAATGTTATGAACAAAGATGATCCTGACTGGTGGCAAGGAGAAGTCAATGGAATGACTGGTCTCTTTCCTTCAAACTATGTTAAAATGACGACAGACTCAGATCCAAGTCAACAGTGTGAGTAATATCAAATTATTTACTTCTCAACTGGTGTGAAAACTTTAATGTGCACCATATAAGTTCTGGGTAAAATCTTATTCTCAACACTCAGCAAATGTAGATAATGTTTCAGTAAGAAAAACAAAAGAAAATATTTTACAAGATCAAGTTATACTGCTCTATTTTGAATACTTTTTGCTAGCTTCAGACCTTAGTATTTATCTGAAAACAAATGTACAATTTCTCTGTGTTCTTTGCTAGGATGGCCTCTATCCTGCAACTCCTCTTTACCACTTCCTCTTTCAGCACCCAGCATCCTTTCTCAGCTTACTAAAGAGTCCCCGATTCCTCTATTCAGGGTGCCCTTGCCTTGTGTAGATGCCATTGATCTTGCAGTTCTCCTGTTTCCCACATGGTTACCTGTCATCCAGGTTGGAAAAAAATAAATACCCCATTTAAACTGTGAAACTCTAGTTAGGTGATTCTGAAAATAGTTGACAAGAAATATAACACTAATAATAAACGAGGGAATGAACAGTTGCTTGGAAATAACACTTTACCTTTTCAAGGTAGATATCACATTTTCTTACCCTTTTGATCTTTAGTTGTAATTACAAAATATTTCATGACTTGTATTTTTATCACTAGTGCAATATTGAAAACATTTAGCCTTTCATTTTAATTTAATTGAAGAGAGCATATAAATGGTACCTCAGTCAAAACTGAAATACATGTGTGATTCCGTGCAAAAGTTATAAATTTACTTTAATACTGTATCTGTAATTTTATACATTGTTTTCACTTCAGAGTTTGTAAAGATAGTTCTGATTTTAGAGAATATTCCCTTTTAGATAAATCAACTAAAATTTCCAGTTTGGAAGTAAGAGGAGTCCATTTTTTTATGGTGTGAATATCCCAGAAATATTCAGGAGAAATGATAAAGAAAATTGTAACAGCTTGGATTGCCTAATAAATGGCCAATGTTAAACTTTGCTGATGGCTTTGCAGCTCACAGAGATTAATTAGAAATCAGTTTATCTGATTAATTAGAATTGATTAATTAGAAATCAGTTTATCTGATTAAGAAAACCAAAAAGAATGCTTTGTCCACTATTCTAACATAGGTAGAACTGGCTGAGCCTCAGTCTACCTGTAGATGAGAGCCCTATCTGAATCACAGACTGTTCAAAAGGTTATTTCAAAATAGGAATACTTTCAAAGTTCTTTTTATTATACAATTATTACCACTACCTTACCTATTACCTTATTTTTGACGAATGTATATGGGATTTTTAGTTTGATTGTATCTAAAAAGTGAATACTTTCTTGTTTTTGCCTAAATGAACAAAGGTTCGTCTTCTAAACTGGAATAAAAGAGCTCTTAATTCTATAATTCTCAGGACAATTCTCAAATAGATTCTTCTGAAAACGTTTATTGTTCCTATCAAAACAGCTGTCTAAATCACCTAGGATACTGAAGAGTACCAATTGTGTTAACTTGAAATAGCTATTTACTAGAAATTGAAGTGTCATAATTGCTTTTTCAGAGATGAAGAATACAGTTAATTGTGTTGGTAGCTATGAAATTCATTCATCCTAAGTTTATATAGCCCTACAATTGTCACAGGATACAGCTGAGAAAATGCTTACTACTTGTAGTCAGAAATCAGTACATAGAAATGAATCATGTGCTTATTTTCTTTGTATGAAGCATTGAGAGCTGGTTAAGTTATAGATTGTTTGTGTTTCTCTGGCCCTTATAAATACTATTTTCATTTTATTATATAATAATTAGAACAGGTTGGGAATTTTAGTAGGTCAAATTTATTTAGTTGATGTTGCATGTTATTATTAGTCACATTTTTTTCTCACCCACCTAATTTGCATTTTGTTCATTTTATTCCTCATTTTTCTTTTTTTAGGACCCACTGTTGTCTTCCAGTTGTGAAAGCACCCCAGAGACCCACTATCCAAGTTTGACTCTAGCGTGGAGGCAGGGCAGGTAGCCCTGATCAAATATCTCCTACACAATTCACTTACTTCGTTCAAATGTTAGAGCCAAGAGGCACTTGTGATTATTTCTCTGTGTTTCTAATTTACAGTTAAAATTTATTTGTAACAAGTTCAAGGATAGTGGGTCTTTGTGTGGCTTTCCCTGCTGTTCGCTCTGGCATCCTTTAGCATTTTTCTTCTTTTTTAATTTGGTAATTTTAGGTCATTAGCATGCACATTCAGTTTGCCCTTGTATGGTGGGAGTTCAAACACACAAAGACCCACTATTTGCACATACTGTTCTCTCTGGTTTGGAATGGGCTGCCGTGCTTTTCTAATGTTACTGCAAGATGTATATTCATTACAGAATTCAGATGGCATTTGCTTATATTCTGCTGTTATGTTTGATCTAATCTAACCACAGTGAGCTCTAATTGGCTCAGCCTGTGATTTGATTCACCCTCAAATGAGCACTGTTTATGCTGTTACCTTCTAATATGCCACTCTGAGTACCAATATTTAGATTTGTTTAAAGGCCAAGAACTGGAAATACCCTTTTCTGTATTTTCTGTGTGAGCTAAGTGGGAGCAATAACATTTAGGGAGCTTTTCTTATCTCACAGAAGAGGAAAGTGGCCTTTCCTGGCGTGTGTGTGCAGACTGTGATGCATTTAGTCTGTTTCAGCTGCACAAGCATGAGCACAGAACCTTGGTAGTTCCTCTAGGTCTTCATGTGCTCTGCTGCAGATCCTGCCTCATTGTGCTCTAGCTCATAGCTATTACTTCTTTATGATGACCTAAAATGGACTCTTTTTTTCAGGAATGAAAGACTCCCATTGTTGACTGTATGATATGCTATGAAACCTTCCCTAGCTTAGAGCATTTATATCTATATTTTAAAGTCAGAATTCATGTTAACTATGATAGTCACATGAGTACATGTCTCAGTACACAGAAGGACACTGTTGGCATTTTTAATGTATTTAGTGAAAATCATAAGGAATCCTTGAAGAGTTTAGATGTCCTGAAGCAGGTGTACAGGCTGTAGCCAAGAAGGATTCACAGGGAGCTGGATTCCTGTGCAGAGAAAGCTTCTTTGAGGCTAGAAGACTGATTGTACCATTCACACTTCTCTGGCCAATGTATATTCTTCACCCACATTGGCTACTTTGGCATAGAATTTCACTTCTTTAAAGTGGAAAACACTTTAAAAATAACAGACATTATTATAAACTTAATATATGTGAGAGTACTTAGCTGAAACAAAAAGGAGTTTTAGTAGATAATATTAAACTGTATTTGAAAATCCATGGCAAGTTTATGCAACTTAAAATGTTTACAAACTGCAGTGCACTCTACTGTTTGTGAATGTCTAAATGTTATCAGGATAAGTGTACATACAGTCTCGGTCTTACTTCCTCACAAAGTTCTTCAAGAAAAAGTGAAATATGATTTATACCTCTCAGTTTAAGTCGAGGGATACTTTGTGCAATATTTTTGTTAATGTGTCTGTATATCATGAATAAATGATTTCAGTCATACCTTGCCTAGATCATAACTTTACAGCACTTGAGAAAGAGCCAACAGTTTAGTTACAACTCTACAAAGTTCAAAGGTCTGTATTCAAAAATATACTTCTCATTATTGGGGTGTAAGGAGGTATATATGTGTGCTTCCTAGGGTGGGGATTTCTAGTTACTAGACCACCTCAACTTTTAGCATTTGGCATCATCATGTTTTATAAATATGACGTTAATAGGAAAGCAATAATATCATCTTACAGGTAGAATAACAGATTTACCTGCAGTCACAAAAAGCAACAGTGCAAAAACTTCCAAAACTGACTTTCCCATTGCTTTTCATCTTCTGAGCTTTCTCCTTTTCACCTGTTAGTTGACTTCAGGGCAAGGACAGTTACTTTAAATACTGAAGTTAGAAATTAGATCACTGCTTATTAACCACATCACTTCCTAAGGCACTCTTCCTTTGTAATTTTGCTTTGGGGCTCATCTAATACACTGATGAATTATTTCAAAGGTATTTTTATAGCTCAAAATCACTTCACTTTTACATTGATGAAAATAGATAATTAGGAATGACATTCACTTGAGCCTAAACTCAAATATAATCAACCTGAAAATACTGTATTCATCAGGTAGCCATACATGAACTCACATACTGACCCCATATTAAGCTGAATGTCAATCTGGAAAATAAACAGTGTGTTAACCAGAATGCCACTCTGTATAAGTATGTTGTCATATATTGACAGAAAGGTAAAAGGAAAGGAAATCCTATGACAATCATTTTAATCATTCTTAAAAGTGCATGCAATCCTTTATCATAACTCATTCAGCCATGGATTCGTCCTCTTCCTGATTCAGTGTAAGGCAGCTTTCAGTGTGCTTAGAAGAAAAGAGTCTGTTAGAAACATGGAATTTTTAAATGGAAGTACAACCAGATTAATTTGAACCCTACAGGAAATAAAGAATAAAAATACCTGTTTACTTAAAAATTGCAATATGTGATAAACATTTTTAAAGCATGTAATTAAACTTGAGTTTTCCAGAAATTAAAAAAATCAGTTCTAAAACCAAAGCTGATTTTTAGAAAATTTGAAAATTAAAATCAACTCTACCCACTGTATAGTTTCTCTAAAACTTTGAGTCATTTTGAAATAATACAACTATTTGAAAAATAAAATATTTTATTGTTTTAAAATAAAATATGAATACCAGTAGTTGGAAAGAAACTGAAGAAAAAGTAGAGAGAGAAATGCCAATTCCAGTCCAAAGCTTTACTTGCCAAGTTTTCTTAGAATGAATTTTACCAAGTTATGGAATTCTTGTAAATAGAATCTACAATGGAAATACCGAGAGACCTTTGCCTAAAGTGGCACTGTCGGATGCTGCTGTGATGCTACTGTAATGTAATAAATTATTAAATTGTTGCAAAGTGCTGTTTTTGCCTTAAATTTTTATTTTGTGTGTCTTGAAAACTATAGTATTAAAGGTATTGAATTTGTGCAAATGCTGGGCACGCTTGGCATGAAATAATCTGTTTTTATTTTTACAAAATTGTAATATAACTATGCAAGTGTGTTTATTAAAAGAACACAAACTACATTACTTGTATTGTGTTTTTCTTTGAAGCATCCTTTAAAATCTATTTTTAATTGTTCATTTACAAGTGTGATTAAATGTCTTTGGAGTTTCTCTTTTTTTCCTTAATGTAATCTCTGCATACAGGCCAGCCAGTTGTTTTATATCACAGAGCCAGATTAAATTTTTAAGTGGCAAATTGAGATCATTTTAGCTGAACTAATCATGTATCTCAAAAGCATGAGAAATTTTGATTTTAATATGCTGTTTGCTCACAAGGTAAAGGAAAATATAATCTAGGTTTATATTATGGTATGTACAGGTTTGGTTTGCTTTGCTGGTACTTAGGGCCCTACACTTGAACAACTCTGCTAACCTTTTTTGCGTTGGTATTTTCAAGATAGGGTCTCGAGAACTATTTGCCCAGGGCTGGCTTCCAACTGTG